TGGATTCACGAATGCGCAGGGGCCGAATGGACTCTGGGGGAAGGCGGGGAAGTCGGCAGAAGCCAAGAAGTATTCGAAAAGAGCTGCAGCCGATGCCGAACAACGCCTCACTGCAGCGGTTCGTGAAGCATTGGGAGCTCAGCGCATTGTACATACCGGAGAGGTGCTGCCTCTTCCGCTCCCTACCCATCCCATAACTCATGCGCCACCACCCCCTGCGCGGATCTCATTCTGCGAGCCCGTTTCACAAGGCTTGCTGATGCCGACGACAAAGATTGTGCTTGTCCAGGCTCGCCCTCAAGGACTCCGCGCACAACAGACTGTGCCCTCGAGATCTGCGCTTCTGAAGCAAGTAGCCGAGGACGAAGCTGACGACACTTCCAACGAACAATTTTATTCTGCAGCCGAGGATAAACCCGGTGAAAGTGGGACAGAAATGGAGGTCACATCAGCTGCTGAGGAGTCTGAAACAGAGGGCTCAGTCGGATCCATGAGTGACTCCTCGGATGACTCTCTAGAAGATATGATTTCTCTTAGTGCGCCTGAATTGCCACAGCCACCGTCAGGGGTGATGTCTTCCTTGACTTCGGCAACCCCAAGAGCCGGAGGGCGACGGTCGGATGGAATTCATACCCCCGGGTCTGTGGCATCGAACTTCACATCAACAACCATGCGCCCTGGGCGTGGCGGAGGCAAGACCTTCAAGGTGGAAGGTCTTCTGCAGCAAGTTCCAAATGAGGTTCTGCACCCTCGACCTCGCGACGATGAAGACGTCGACTCCTTTGTCTTCGTAGATATCAGCACCCTCGCCAAGATCGGATGCTTCTCTGGCGATTGGGTCAGAATTGAAGCCACCGAGGAGCCCCAGCTGAACATGTTCGCCTCGCTCAAATTTGGAAGTTTCAACGACTCCCCTGACGACTCAGGCGATTGGCGCCCAGTTAAGATTTTTGGTCTGTCGGGTCTTCCGTCCTCCAAGCCGCGGTATGCCATTAATCATTCAGGTGAACGCCGGTCTAGTATTTCACAACGTCAACCCACCCGCTTGACCCCTTCAGTTTTCGTTCCCCCGTTGCTTCTTGGTAACATTGAAAATCCCAAGTACCTGCGGATTTCCCCCATGACTTTCGCTACTCCTAATGGCTCTTCCAAACCTGGCATCTTGCATCACATGAAGAACACTGCTGCTAAAAACCCACCTTTGGCGAAAGAGGTCACACTGCTAAAGGTTTCCACTCCTCTCTCAATGGATCGGGCCCTTCAACCAGCGCTGTTTGCAGGACTAAAGCAGTACTTTGAGTCACGCCGGCGTATCCTTAAAAGTGGTGATTTGGTCGGAATTAGCGTGGACGAAGGACTCGGCAGAGCGGTGTTCTCTGGCACCGCTGGCGGTGACAGTGCCAGCCAAGAGGAAGACATCACTATCCGGCTGGGCCAGGGTGTCAATGGAAATACTGCTGGAGCTCGTAAAATCGGCGTCGCTTGGTTCCGTGTCGGGCAGGTAGCCCCGACTACTGTAGAGGAGCTGGAGGAGACAGGCGAAGATCAGTGGGGCGGAGTCGCTGTACTTGACCCGGCTACCACGCGTATGGTACAGGCCGGAAGCGATGTGAGCCGAGTTCCCGGCGTTTTGGACAACGGGTGGGAGTATTGGCTGGGCGTCAAGACGATCCCGAAGAGCGTCCATGATACCCCAATGCCCCATGGCATTGTTGCGGAACCACCTCAGTCCTTTATCCCATCATTGCAGCAGCGAATTCGTGATTTAATGTCTGCTGCTACAAGCCCGCGGGCTATTCAGCTAGGAATGAAGCCAGTCTTTATCCTCCTCAGATCTCAGCAAAGACATATCGGCAAGGCAACCGTCGCAACTCGAGCGTGCTCAGATATCGGCCTCCACACATTCCCAATCGATGCATATGACATCCTCACAGAAGGCGGCGCGAATGGTGGCGATGTCAAGACCGAAGCATATCTTAAAGCCCGAGCGGAACGGGCTTTCCATTGCGGAGCGAACTGCACCGCACTGTTGATCAGGCATATCGAGGTTTTAACCGCCGATCGCATTGTCACAGCAATGACCGACATATTGAACGATGCCAGAGTTGTCATTGCCACCACCACTGATGTTGAAACTATCCCGGAAGGTATCCGCGGCCTCATCACCCATGAGTTCGAGATGGGTGCCCCGGAGGAGAAAGAGCGCGAAGGCATTCTGCAAAATGCTGTCGCAGAGCGAAGTATCAGACTGTCTGCGGATGTGGAACTGGGTACCATTGCTCTGAAGACCGCAGCTCTTGTCGCAGGAGATCTGGTTGATGTCGTGGAACGAGCTGCCGGGGCGAGAACAGCTCGCCTCGAAAGTCTGGCTGAGGCTAGCAAGAAGCTTTCAGGCTCGGAGGTCTTTGTCAGAGACGTCCTGTTGGCAGGAGGTGACGGTGCACGAGGTGTTACCAAGGCGGACTTTGACACTGCTGTAGAAGCTGCGCGGAAAAACTTTGCTGATTCGATCGGTGCACCTAAGATTCCAAACGTTGGCTGGGATGATGTTGGTGGATTGACTAATGTTAAGGATGCCTTGGTCGAGACGATTCAGCTGCCACTCGAACGGCCCGAGCTTTTCGCCAAGGGCATGAAGAAGCGCAGTGGTATCTTGTTCTATGGCCCACCCGGAACCGGAAAGACCCTGCTTGCCAAAGCCATTGCCACTGAGTTCTCTCTCAACTTCTTCTCCGTTAAGGGTCCTGAACTGCTTAATATGTACATTGGTGAATCCGAGGCAAACGTGCGCCGGGTATTCCAACGCGCTCGGGATGCTCGTCCCTGTGTTGTGTTTTTCGATGAACTGGATTCTGTTGCGCCCAAGCGTGGTAACCAGGGAGACAGCGGTGGTGTTATGGACCGTATCGTTAGTCAACTGCTCGCAGAGTTGGATGGAATGAACGGTGGCGAGGAGAACAGCGGTGGAGTTTTTGTTATTGGTGCGACTAACCGTCCTGATCTGCTTGACACTGCACTTCTCCGCCCTGGTCGCTTCGACAAGATGCTCTACCTGGGCGTGTCAGATACACATAGGAAACAGGCGACTATCCTTGAGGCTCTGACGCGCAAGTTCGCTCTCAACCCTGATGTCTCGCTTGATCGCGTTGCGGAGCAGCTTCCCTTGACTTATACCGGTGCTGATCTGTATGCACTCTGCTCTGATGCCATGCTTAAAGCTATCACTCGAAAGGCCACTGCTGTGGACGACAAGATCAAGACTCTGCCAAATGGTCCCGTCAGCACTGCTTGGTTCTTTGATCACCTCGCCACTAAGGAGGATGTGAATGTGACCGTAACCGAGGAGGATTTCCTGTCTGCTCAAGGGGAGCTTGTGCCAAGTGTTAGGTATGTCCGCTCTGCTCACCCTACCCTACCTATTGTCTCCTTCTCTTGGTGACATACCGTGATACGTGATACTGACCCCTCGTAGTGCCAAGGAACTCGAACACTTCGAGCGCATTCGCCAAACCTTCGAAGCAGTGGACAAGTCAAAGCAAGACCCCGCTGCTGCCGCGCCACAGACAATCGCAGAGGCAATGGAGGCATTCAACCTGGGCGGCTCGGTAACTAACGGTGATAGCCACCTAACCGGTAGTATCCACGGTCGTATCGAAGGCCTGAATAAGAGGCCAGGCAGCGCTGTTCGCAGTGCCAGTGGCCAGTCAACGACCAGCAGAAAAGGCAAAGGAAAGAGCTCCAGCAAGAAGGGAAAGGGGTCTCGCATTGGTGTGGAATCTGATGGATCTGTTGATGGTGACGATGAGGATATGGCAGTTGGTGCCAAAGACGACGAAGATGAGGATGATTATGTCGTTCGGACTGATCACTTGATGAAGCCTATGGAGGAGGTTGAATAGAAAAGGTCTGGACGGACATATATAACGTGCTGGCACTATTCTTCTGACCTACCAGGCGGTCTTTGTATCTACTATGCTGATTTGATATACCTTTTATCTGTACATTTCTAATTCTTTTCCCTGTTATAACTACATTTGTACATCCGTAATCCTTACGAAGAGTGTACGTAGCTTAATGCCGTGGTGTCGGATTGGACGAAATCCCAAGATCTCTCAACTCATTCCTTTCTAGCATGGTATTATCGTATTTAGGTTTTCTTCGTCACAGTATGTAGGTTGTTCCCTGTCACGTCACAAGTTTCTATAGTTGGAGTTAGGTAGTAAGTAGATCCTATTTCTTACTACCAGTCAATTTCGTTTGGACTTGTCTTCAGTCGCCTTTTAGAGGGAGAAGTACATAGTATCCCCCCTCTCACCTTATAACAGTCTCGGGGCAATGTTCGGCATCCCTAGCCAATGCTTCATATATTCCTTAAGCTTATAGAGCGTCAACAGATATTCAGAGAAAAAAAACATGTTGCAATAAACGCATCCAGCATTTCTCTTGACAACTTCAAGTCATCCGAAAGTTCTATATATCTCTTTCGGGGGTGGAAGGAGGAATCTCCATAATGGGGCCTATGACTCGCAGAGCAACTCGATCACCTTATGTATCTTGAGAATATTAGAATGAGTGCACATATGCGATGGGATAGCATGATCTCAGGTTTGGCCTTCTCTACGATCTCATTAAAGCCTATACAATATATCGTGTCGTAAATAAACATAAGATCTTGCTTCCTACTGTCATTTCGTCTGTTATGGCAGTGTAATTTCCACTTCGTTTTGAGGGGGAAGGGACGGTGTTATGTGTCTCTTTTTGTCACTTCTTCTCGTTATTTCTTGTCTCTTCTTCTCCTCATCCCTTCCCATCCACTCTTCATCCTTTCCAACCAGAGGTTTGTTATTATTCACATAGTGTATACCTCACATTCACTGACATGAGATGAACTGATAGGTTTCTTCCATCTGACTGCGCGTGTCTCCAGAGGCTTCCCTTATTGCTTCTCTCCAACACATTCAATTTCACCTTTTCCCTTGATCTGTACGCTGTTCCACAAAATGAACAAAACGCGTTTCACGCTGAACACGGAGCAGTTGTCCAGGGGACAGGCTCTCGCCAACAGCTGGGAGCCTGCAAAGCTGCTAGGAATACTTGCCAAGAATCCCCGTACCGTTCGAGATGGAAACCTTGATTATGAGGAGGGAGATATGCCAGAGGCCCCCATATTCCAGGAGGAGGGTACGAAGGGCTTGGGAAATTTGAGCTGTCTCCCCAACGAACTCGTGGACATGATTTTCAACATGTTGGACATGCCCAGCGCTATCCGACTCTCATATGTCAACCGCACTGCCAATAACTTTGTTCGGAAAGGCCCCGTACCATTTCTCCGGCGATGGGCTCCCGGCCTGCCGAAGATTCTCAAACAGACCCAGATCCATAAGACTTGGGCCATTGCTGACCTCAAAGACGCAATTCGCCGTGAAAACTGCGTGGTATGCGGTAACTTGTGCGTCCAACTCTACCTTCCTACGATGGAACGTATCTGCCATGCATGCATGCACGACAACCATGCATACTGGTGCCTCCCTGTGGAGCAGGCAGCCTTGATTTTCGGCCTTGACCTACCTGATGTCATTGACTATCAAACAATGTATCTGCCAAGGATGAGCTTGAATGGCCGTGGTCTGGACGATATTAGCGCCTGGGTTGTTCCTGTCAAAGTGGCGCTGACCAGAGCCCTGGAGCTATATGGCACCCGCAAGGCTATCAAGCGTGCTGCAGAAGGCAAATTGTCAGGTATGGATGAGCCCCAAGAACATGGCACTCCTGATGACGAAGAATTTGTGATCGAAAACGAGAATGACATTTATCGCGCTGCTTCCTTATCCTCCAACTTCAAACGACTCCGTCCAATTGACACCGTTGGAATGGAAATCAGTCATATCTACCACCATGACGTTACCTGTCAGGTACCTGTTGTTCCTAACGGGAATACACGCAAGATCCTTCAGTTGTGCCGCGGTTGCACTGCCATGCTCACAATCAGCAAGATCAAAGGCATGGACAAGAGCCATGTGCAGAGTATGGGCATTGACCCCGAACTCGATGTGTTTGAGCGAGGGCTTGCGTTCTACCATCGTGCCTTCCGTGTGCGGACAGAGGCCGAGATGGTTGAGCATATTCGAACTGAGTGCGCTGGGAGTTGGACCCTGTTGTGTGCTGAGTCTGAGAATGAGGCGCCATAGGTGGCTCTCTTGCCCTGGACAGGGGACGTGATGATAACCATTGTCTCTAAGACGTTCGGCTAGGATGGACATGGGAGCTGGAGGAGGAACGGTAGGTCAAAGGGGGTGGTTCAGCTGTATTCGTTGAAACAAGTCACAACCCGCAGGTCAGATATTTGAGAATTTGAATTTCCACACATGTCAAGTTGTGATTTGGGAGAAGAAACGTGAGGGGAACAATGTATGTTGTACTTCGCAGGGACAATGAAAATATGTGGCCGATGGCTTCTATGTAGCCTTTCAGGATTCGATTCTCGTTATTTTGTTATCTTTTCTTTCCTTTTCCCTTTCCAAATATGGACAGGGTTATTTTTAGTTATGGGTAAGTTGAGATACACCTAGGGCACGTATTTTGAAAAGTAATATACAGATACTAATATACGGAGCAGACTAGAATAAGGTTAGGGTCCAATCCGAAACGCTTCATCCCTTAACCTCTGTATCGATAATAAACGTATGGACAAGATCAAAAGTTCCGGAGAGATATCTTTACATAGGAGTATTTGTCTCTAGAGATAGGGAAGGCTTGCGGCCCACTGCTCCACACTTAAATCCCACCTCGGCTCAATTCAACTGAAACGGGGAGATCATACCAGCTTACAGTAAAGCTAGTGTTGACCAAGCCCTTAAAACCAATATATCTTCATTTATCACGCATATCACTATGACTTTTTGTATTTTATCTCCAAAGATCGTCTATTTCCCTCCAAAGTTACATTTCCCCCCGCATACTATGTGGGTCGTCAGGGTACAGAATTGACCAATGATAAGACAAAGAAGGCATAAGCTCTGGGGCTGCCGGCGGAAGACATCCATGGATGGATCATCGGTCAGTGACTTATCCGACCTTGAAAAGGGCCAATAAAACGATGATCTTTGTAGCTCAAAAGATTGTGACTGGCTGAAATCGCCGCTCTCGGTCCCCTGAACCATTCACAGTCACAACTGGTTATCGCTTCTAGTCTTCTATACCCCAAATTATTTACATAACACTTCTCCGTACTTCCCCCCCGCGTGGCCATGAAGAGAATATTGGGATAATCTGTCGTCATGGTGTTTCTTCCGAGCCTGTTTAAGATGTCTAGTTCTCCTCATCCGACCTTTCTCTTTTCATCCTTTGCCTGACATAGCAATCATGGACAAAGAAGAATACAATAGTGATGAAGCTCAGCTGGCCCAGATGGGCCATAAGTCTGAATTGAAGCGAAACTTCTCCTTAATGTATGTGCTACAATTGACCATTCCTGGATTGTGCTAACCTATTCGTTTTTGAAGTTCGATGCTGGGTCTGGCTTTTGCCATTCTAAATGTACGTGATGCGACCGGTATACCCAAATCTCATTGGAATCAACAATTGACATTGAATAGTCATGGACCGCTTTGTCGGCAAGTTTGTCCCTCAGTTTGCCCTCAGGAGGTAGTACAAGTATTGTCTGGGGTATGTATTCGCTGGGCTCTCTGTCCCTTTCTCAAAGTCTAGAGCTGATATGAGTCCTAGGTCTTGTTACTGCAGGAATCTGTAATTTGTGTATGGCAACCTCCCTAGCCGAGTTCCTCTCTGCATACCCCACTGCTGGAGGGCAATATCATTGGGTCGCTGTGACTGCATGGGGAAAGTGGATGCCAATTCTTTCTTGGATTACGGGCTGGGTCAACTGCTCTGGCTGGGTTGCGCTGGTCGCAACCGGTGGCCTCTTAGGCAGTCAGCTCATTCTGGGTGTAATTTCTCTCATGAACCCGGTAAGTTATTCCAGGATCCATTATTTGATGCTTTTGACTGACTTTTGTCATAGAGCTATACCGCCGAGCGCTGGCACCAATTCCTGATCTATATCGGCTACAATATTGTTGCCTTCCTCGTCAACGCCTTTATGAACAACCTTCTGCCTTATGTTACCAAAGGCGCTTGTGAGATATCCTATATTGAGCTGTTGGAGATCTTCCACTAATTCCAACAGTCATCTGGTCTTTGACGGGGTTTGCCGTCATCTGCATCACCGTACTTTCATGTGCCGCGCCAGAGTATAACTCTGCCAAGTACGTCTGGTCGACCATCCATTAGACCCTAAAACCGAAAAGACTGACTTAGAACAGATTTGTCTTCACCGATTTCATTAATACAACAGGATGTAAGTTTCCCGCATCGTAATCTTATGTTTCTTGAACTGACTCTTGCAGGGCCTGATGGAGTTGCATGGTTGCTTGGGGTATGTCGTTTGATGTCAGAATTCATGAGTATATCTAACATATTCATAGCTCCTGCAAGGTGGTCTTGGTGTTACTGGCTTCGATGGCGTCGCCCACATGATCGAAGGTAACTTCTAGGAGTTTGTACTTGATCATGGTCCTGAAGCTAACAGACTACAGAAATCCCCAATCCCTCGATTGAGGGGCCGAAGATCATGATTGCTTGTGTCGGTATCGGTACCGTCACTGGAACAATTTTCCTTGTTGTATTGCTCTTTGTGGCTGGTGATATCAACAAAATCATTGAGTCTGCGGCAACTCCGCTCCTTGCAATCTTGAACCATGCCACCTCAAGCAATGCAGGCGCTATCTGTCTCTTGATGTAGGCTTTCCTGTTCTCCGGTCGCTTTCTTATTGTACTGACACCTTCTCAAGCTTCCCGTTGGTCTGCGTTCTGTTCGCTGCAACCGCTATTATGACCACTAGCAGTCGTATGATATATGCCTTCGCGCGGTACGTTATTATGGGCCCTTCCTCTTTTCAACGTGAATATTGTACTGACAGTAGCTATAGTGATGGCGGTCTCCCTGCGTCCCCATTCTTCTCTCGCGTTCACCCCAAACTACAGGTTCCTTTGAATTCGCTATATCTCAATCTGGCTCTCGTGACTATCTTCGGTTGCATCTTCTTGGGATCAACCAGGTAAGAATAAGCACAACACTTTACCCTGGATAATGCTAACATCCCCTAGCGCTTTCAATGCCATTATCTCAGCATCGGTGGTGCTGCTCGATGTTTCATACGGAATGCCAATTGTAGTGAACTGCTGCCGAGGAAGGAGAATGCTACCCGAGCGTTCATTCAAACTGCCAGAAATCGTTGGCTGGACCCTCAACATCGTATGTGATCTCCCCCACTGCGACTTTATTAAAATGATTATTTACTGACTCATAATTTCTCAGGTATCATTGGCGTACATTTCCCTGACTACTATCCTTTTTCTCTTCCCCCCTGAATTGCCTGCCACTGGTAGCAACATGAGTTAGTTGGCTCTCCCTTTTTGTCGTGCCAAAGTATGAAGCTAATGTGATATGACAGATTACTGTGTTGCGGCATTTGGTATTGTCTTCGTCATTTCCACCATCCAGTGGATTGTAGATGGACGCAAGAATTTCGTCGGTCCCCGCATCCAAGTGGAAGTCTTCAATGGAGAGGTCGGTGCTCAGCCAGAGCAGCCGATCCCATTCGTTGAACAGCATAAAGAATAGTTCCGAAGTCGCCAGGATATATTACATAGACTATAGCTAGAATTTTCAAATAGAATTCCTCGAATCCAGGCAACTATTTCTCACTAGGGACAGTGATACGTCGCAAAATAATGTAGTTCTGTATTTGAAAATGTTCTACTTTAAATGAGACATATCCCGATTTGCCGTTTGCTAAAAGGGTGGATTATATTTGCTGAAGCAGGTTGAGTACCAGCGGGAAGTAGTCCGCTTCCGACGCCGGACCAGACTCATCTGCTATCACGTGATCAGATTGATAACCAAAATTTCCTACGTCATATCAACTTACGATGCACGTGATGGCTTCCCAACAATCCCATCCAAACTACTAGAAACGACCTCACCCATCGCCACGATGTTTACTGTTCGGTGGCCATCATTACCGTCGTTTGGATCGCTCTTATCCTCACCCACCCAGGCTATTGATCTGCCCCCGGTCAACATCCATGAAACCGAGACAGCCCAAGACAAGCCGGGCCGGGCATTGAAACACCTACTGAAATTGAATCATGTCGAGAACTCACTGTTTGACTGTCGCAACTTCCCTAACCAGCTAATTCATGTGAGTGATCTACATTGCCTTTGTAATATGGGCTTTCAATGTATGAATTCCTCGTCATTGAACGATAACATTGACTTGCTCGCAGCTCTTGAGCTCCTCTTTTCTCCAAGGCGCAGACGCCGATACTTTAGGCCGGATATATGAGAAGGAAACATCTAATCTGGTTAAATGGAAAGCATCACCGGCAGAAATCACCACTCTTGACTGGCGAGGTCACCTGGGATGTCGAGGGTGGGTTGCTGGCCCCGTTTCGGCCTTGCTTTCGCTTGGGACTCCTCGCTAACTTTAGGCAGATTTGATCGAGCTTTCGTGGATTTCTTTGAAGATGAAATGGTCAACCTTAGCTACAACTGGAAGGAAGTTGTGGCCGAGTACTTGTTTACTGCCAAAGAGCCCATGTTTGATTCTATAATGGCTTCCTGTATGTTTTCTTACTCATGGAGGAGAAAGTCAGCTTGAATCTGCATCTGCTTACTATCTCTCTAGTCGGATTGCCATTGATCCATCTTGCGTACGCCTTTGAAATGGACAGTCGTGAAATCGCAATGGAGGCACTCGGCCTTGCAGCAACCTGCCACAATGACATGTACAAATCCTTGGAGGACTCTAAACAGTCCGAAAACGCGGCAACATATCAATCAAAGTCACTCTTTGCGATTCTTGATCTAGCCAAGAAAGATGAGGACTTAGATGGGCTCTTTCCCACTCCCGGCAATGGCAATCTCGATGCCCTTCTCGTCAGTCGTAACGCCGCGCTTCTCAACCACTGGAAGGCGTGGAAGATCGAGAATCCAATTGAGCAGTTCCGCGAGAGCCAAGAGCTTGCAGCTGCTTTGCTAGTTGGAACAGCAGTTGATTCGACGGGGCATTACGATCGCTTCTTCGCTTTGAACCTTGCAACCAGCCATGCTGTCCGTGTCGTGCTGCCTTTCATACCCCCCCAGTTCCAAATTCCTCTTCTTCGACAATGGTGGTTAATGTGCGTGGGAATTTACGTCGCGCAACTACGGCCCGAGATCGAAATGGACAAAATTCGGAATTATGATCTGAATAGAAAGGACTGGGAATGGGTTGCCGACAAAGCTGTCAATGGCGACTTCTCATCCAATGTGCACTTTGTCACGACTACTCGAGCACTGAAAGAACTGGCATCGACTTGGGGCGATTCCGATAGCTTCTTCTTGAAGGCTGCCGTGCAATTTGTGACTGAGTTCAAGGGTTGGCGGGTTTAACTCCATCGGATGTGAGCCGTACTACAGGATTTATTTGTAACCTTTTCACCCACCCAACTCAAAGATATATAAGATTTAATGAATAATTGAAGAAAATATACTCCGTATTGATTGATGCATGTTTCCTTCGTATAGAATCACATGATTTCAGATTTCAGATTGACTGTTTGCTATGTTTGCTCCGTTTGCATTTCAGAACGCGATGACCGAAATCACCACTGTGATTCACCAATCTCTTTTTAAGCACGACATGTTTCTCGTGGCCTTAGACTAGGGTAACTCTGAGGAAAGTGTGCTTTCTAGATGATCACCTAGGTTTCCTGCCCTCTTTGCCATCACTCTTCTGGCCTAGGATCATCAAAACACCACCAGTCATCGACGATCATCGCTCTGCCTGGACACATACGCGTGCACAACTTCCACAATGCAAGATGCGGATGTACCTCTATATCTTCATGCAGAATTCCTACCAAACATTCGCCAGATAACCCTTTACATCGCCCTCCCCGGGACTGCAGCATTTGATGGAGTCCGACCAGATATCCAACTTTCAGAATCAAGAAAAGCAGTCATAGTTTCCCTATCAACCCCATTTGAATATGTCACAGAAACATTCAAACTACCAGCCCGCGTTAATGACGCGTCGCGTCGCGTGTTGAAAACAATATCTGGACCAGCTCCAAAATCAGATCCCAATAGCGCTGGGAATCCGAGCTATGATTTTTCTTTTCGCATGCAAGTCGATCCTGATGAAGAGGTGCTGGCGCCTCGAGATGAACTAATCAATGAATTTGTGCCTTGGACAGCAGACCAAATGTCGTCCTCGACTCGCATTCGTTGTCGAGAGTGTGAACATGCTTTTCTTGATTCCTCATCAATACCCGAGTCGGTTGATCAGGGAACAGGCGAAAGCCCTGCTCTAGGATGGATATGGAAAGACCTTCCAAGTGGCAACTGGGCTGAAATGATGGATTTCTGGCATTGTCACAAACCTGACCCCCATGAAGGCCACGAGAAAGACGAGAAAGACTATGCTCTTCAGGTCGAAGATCAAACCGCGCAGACCAAAGGATATGGTGCGGATAGCCACGTGGTGGCTATGTCTGGGACAGTCTTTGTTGATGTTGCCACTTTCCTTCTTGCCGAGACAGACTGCACAGGCTTGAAAAAGGTAAGATTTATATACCTCTCCCTTCCTCCCACCATCGCTTCACCCTACTTCTTATTCCCTGGAACCGGGCAAACTAGAAGGGGGCCACTCCTTTTTCAGTGGGGTGGTCTCCGATACAATTGCCCAAGATGGACGAAACGCTCTTTGTGTATTTGCAATTCAAGGCGAAGGCGGTACTCTCGCAGGGACAGGATCACGGACTAGATGGGTGGTTATCCTCTCTCCGCAGATGGATTTCGCTCTTCGCGTCTGCGATAATGGACTTGTGTGAGCCGTCTTTTCCCTGTTTTGTGACTCAAAGGGTTCTCTTTTTTTCAGCGCCGGCTATTTGAGCAGTGGAGCAGGCGTGATTACAAGAGTTACATTAAATTATTCTCTTTGTGCGATGTGACATGGGCGATATCTATATAGACGTGAGCTTGAATGCAATGCCTTTTTCTTCCTTCGCTCCCCAGTATTTTATTCGGTGCAATAGTTACAATTCTTCTACACTTGCAATTCGCTAACCAGCAATATAGGGCAATGAAGAAGAGCAAAAATCCAACAGTCAAGTCTCAGCACATCGAACCCTCGACTGCGCAAACTGCAATGCCATAATCGGTATGGAAGATCCAATGACTAAGGGATGGCGACTCCTGAAGTCCAACGTATCCCTGAATACCAATTCACCGAGCTGTGAGGCAGACATTGTGAAATGGGAGGTCCACCCAACAGAAACAATCGTTGCCGCACAGTTGCTTGAGTTGATCGAGAGAGAAAGCGCTCGGCGATTCGTCGTTCATTGTGGCCAGAAGAACGGTCTTGTGGTAGGTGTTCTTCCATTCAACTCCAATTGTCTTTGAATTTGAGGCATTGTATAGAATCAAATCTACAAGTGACACCTGCTAACAAATACCTGGCAGCTTTGGGTCTTCAATCCAGACATACGATACTCGAATTCTAGTCCAGGCTGTAGCATCATGGCCCAGCAAGCAATGAAGGTATTCTACCAAAAGTCCGCCAATGTAGATGAGCTGCTCCATCCGGAAATCGGGAACCCCTCCCCCTTGTCGGTGGAAGAGTTGGAGTTGCCATCTATGACATTCGAGGCAATGTCGCAAGCGTTGACTAGGAGTAATGAGATGCTCCCGCTCTCTGCTAGGCGGTTTAATGAGTGGGATGTTGGGCTCTTGGGTCGTTTCAGGCGCGAGAAAGTTTGAGTTGTTGGGTATTTGTATACCACAAAGTGAGAAATCCTATAACGTACATGCAGCAGATCTACGCTGATAATGCAAGGATAGAAATTAAATCATTCTTTATTATTCATTTTTTCTCGATTTGGGGTTGGGATTATCGTAGCTACGTGTTATTATAAATGTGAAGGCTTCCAGCGCTCCATCTAACCATCGAAGGGTGTCTCATAAGGAGGCTCAGCCTGGGGCGTGAGACGAGCGATGTGTCGGCGCTGGCCATCCTCCCAGTCGAAAACGGCGGAGTGGCATGCCACACGGTTCTGTGAAGGTCAGCATCTTTTCTCATACCCAAAAAGGACTAGATTGGTGCTATAACTTACATCCCAGACGACGACGGTGCCAGCCTTCCAGCGAATACGAGCCTGGACGTCCTGCGACAAGGCGATGTGGTCGTACAGGAACTTGAGGAGATGGTCTGATTCCTCTTTCTTGTAACCGACAATGTAACGGGTGACTATGCGACATGAACAATGTCAGCTTTCCAAATATTTCGCCGAATATTCTGTTCCAGACTTACACTGAGGGTTCACATAAAGTGCCTTCTCGCCAGTCACTGGGTGAGTTCGGACAATAGGATGCTCCGATGTGACAGGGTCACGGCGGGCAATACCACCTCCATTTAAACTAGCATTGATCTGCTCGAGGCCGGAGTGTACGGCCTTCAATCCGTGGAGTCGTTCCCGGAAACCAGGGGATAGACGCTTATATGCCTGGACCATGTCGGCAAACAGGGTGTCACCACCTGTGGTGGGACCGTCGAGCGCATATAAGAAAGTCGTACCGGGAGGCTGCTTCTCGAAGGTAACATCCGAGTGCCATGTGATAGTATTGGTGCGCTGCTTTAGGAACTCTTCGCCGGTGCGGTCGTCAGCACCGCGGAAGACAAGGTGGATCTCTGGGAAGCCCTTAGGGGCCCCTGAGGTCTGGTGAATGTGGTGTCGGCCAAAGTAGCCAGCATAGTCGACGACCTCTTGAATCGGACGAGATGCGAAATCTTGGTCGCGGAACGCTGTTTAGATTTGTTAGACTCATGCTTAGAAGGAGGGTGGAGATGGAAGGAATTCCGATCACGCACCGACGACTCGTCGCTGTGCAACATAGAGGGCCAATTGATCTTTTCCCTTGTCAGATAGTTGGCTTAGTTGCACGCCATGGACCTCAGAGCCAATGAAGGGAGTGATCTGGTCGACCTCGACTTGGCCCTTAGGCAGTAAGTCCGGGAAAGAGGCGTCGGCATCCTTGCCGTGATCGTAGTGCTCAAAGTACTCCAGAGGGGGGTATCTAGGCGTCCATTAGATCTGATATTCATGGGGATGTGGGTCGTCATTTAGACCGGGGTATATACCTTTCTGTCTCGTTATCCCAAACGGGCAGATATTCGGGATAGGATACAGGAGGTACCTTGTCTGTGCCCTTGATCTCAACATCCTTTTCACACTTGTATCCAATCAAGTTCTCCTTGTTGTGGCCGCCGTCCGACTTCAGCGAAATCGCAACAGGCGGGGCGCGCAGCGACACTGTTTCGGTAAGGGAAGGAGCCATGTTAGGATTGGGTTGGAGATAGAGAGTGTCTAGTGCCTCTGTGATCAAATGTGTTTTCTCTGTGACATTTCTCAAGGGTTAACATAGCCATATATAATCATTCCAACACATCAAACACGGATTGCGCCATTATTGCGGGGGTTTGTATTTGCGGGACATTGGAATGCTTTCCGTGATCATCGCGAGCCAACCGACGAGCCGGGGTTATGTGAACGTGTAGTGTAGTATACAATATAAATAATAGTTCTAGCATTGGCTGAGGATGACGTGATAAGTAGCGTCTACTGACAATTCTGATATATTAACCAAGTATTTTCTGTACTTCGTACTTCGTACTTCATTCTATGTTGTACGTCGGATATACGACTGTCAAATCCACTATGGCGTGATAGGCAACTCTCAACGGCCTAACTATTAATTTTTGGCTTAGACAGTTTCTATTTAAGTCATTAAACGACTTATATAGGCAATATTATAAGGGAAAATATTGAGATGCCAATGGTATAATGGGTAGTTAATGTTATTACAACATAGACCACTATTCCGTGCAATGTTGTGCTTTGGATCTTATGCAGATCTTCGTCAAGCGAAGAGTCCGCGAAATATCCCTGCTATATCTAGCCTCGCTGACTCTAACGTCACTCTCACTACACTTGCGTGATTAAGCCAAGCTGACACCCAACTGGACAATATCTGCCGGCTCGTCGTCTCTTTCCAAATACTAGTCACCGACGGTCTGACATCTCTACTATCTCTCGAGATTTTGATCAACGATATCCACGATCCCACCAAAGGCCCTCCTGACTTCGAGTCGAGGCCTCCCTGGGCCTACCTAATCAGCTACCCTGTGCACGGTCCGGGTGCTGCTAGGTTGCAATTGGGATGCTAAGTCACTTACTCCGTACGCACATCATAATCGGCAATTTCACACCATTCTGTTATCAAGTTTGTGACTTCTACCTGCTCGCCTGGCCCACACACGCAGAGGTCAAGGCGAGGTATATGCTAAATATGGCGTGATAAGTCAACGTCAATGTCGCCTTGCTACCTTTATATGAGTTAATGCCCATCCAACCCAAGCAATGCTTCTCTTCTTCCATCCATAATTGGACTACCGATCCCTGTTACTGCAAGATGACGGTAGAAGAAGCCAATAAAATGGCACCCGATGCCGGGAGCCTTGACTTTAAGGCTACTCCGAGACTCTCATCCGCCGAGTCTTCGTCTTCATCGATGTATGACGGTCCTCGCGCCAAGCAGACAGACTGTGCTTTTGATACAACCGAGGACCCGCGGTTCTATAAGCCCATTCCCGAATATGAGGGCGCCCATCGCTGGGACCCCGACTTTCAGTGGACAGAGGAAGAGGAGAAAGCCGTTGTCAGGAAGGTATGAGTTACTGAAGCTGTCATGTATTATACTCAAAGTATCTGACCGGTTTAATAGATCGACTGGCGTGTTTGTACATTTGCCTGCGTGACCTTCTTTGCGCTCCAGCTAGATCGTGGAAACATTGTACAAGCTACGTCAGATAACATGCTGGATGATATTGGCATGACCACAAACGACTACAATACTGGCCAAACAATTTTCTACTTAACATTTCTCCTCGCCGAGCTGCCCTCCCAGCTCATATCAAAATGGGTCGGCCCTGATCGCTGGATTCCAGTGCAAATGATAAGCTGGAGCATTATCGCCTCGTGCCAGGCATTTATCCAGAACAAGGGTGGGTTCTGGGCGACCCGTGCCATGCTTGGTCTCCTCGAGGGCGGGTTTATTCCAGATACTATCCTTTTCCTGTCATTTTGGTACAAGTCCAAGGAGTTGCCTATCCGGCTCAGCTTCTTCTGGATGACATATGAAGCAACCGCAATTGTCAGCGCTTTCCTTGCTTTTGGATTCCTCCATATTCGCCAATCGGATGGCACCGGCGGCTGGCGCTACCTATTTGCCCTGGAAGGTTTGATTACGGGCTTGATCGGTATTGTTGCTGCATTCTGGATGCCTCCCTCACCAACGCAGACTGCAGGCCGTTTCCGCGGTAAGAATGGCTGGTTTAATGAGCACGAAGAGAAAATTATGGTCAACCGTGTGCTGCGCGATGACCCAAGCAAAGGAACAATGCACAATCGTCAGGCCGTTACTCCCAAGCTGCTCTGGCAGGCCCTGAAGGACTATGACATGTGGCTCATCTACCTACTCGGCCTGACTTGGATGATTCCTAACACACCGGCTACATCGTACATCAGTTTAGAACTGAAAGCGCTCGGTTTTAGCACTTTCAACACGAACTTGCTCACTATCCCGGCCTATATTATCTTCATTGTCAATCTACTAGTGTGGACTTGGATGTCAGAGCGGTTTAATCAGCGACTACTGCTTGGTGTGGGTGCCGAGCTTTGGGCTCTGATCCTGTTGATCGCCCTAGAGACTATTTCTGAGGATGCCAGTGCTTGGGTGCGTTGGGCTCTGCTGATAATGTTGATTGGAATGCCTTACGTGCATGCTATCATTGTTGCAATTACATCGCGTAATGCAGGCTCGGTGAGGACGCGAACAGTCGCTACTGCTGTCTACAACATGATGGTGCAGGCGAGTAGCATTATTGGTAACAACGTGAGTTCTTGTTTCCGGTTACCTTGTGCGCTCAAGGTATCATTACTAACCCTCACATCCAGGTCTACCGCAGCGAAGATAAGCCGTACTATCACACCGGTAATAGGGTCCTCATGGCTCTTGCGGTGTGGAGTATGGCGATATTCATCATCGCTAAGATTTACTACGTGAGGCGTAACAAGTATGTTAACCCATGTGCTCCGATCGGATTGCTTTTGCTAAAATTTGCTAGACAAAATGCCGCTATCTGGGATAAAATGTCCAGTGAAGAGCGGTCGCGATACGTGGCTGAGAACAAAGACCTTGGAAACAAGAGGTTTGTCCGATTGTATCTTGCTGTGTGACTGGATGCTAATGATTGCGCTACAGAGTCGATTTCCGATTTTTGCACTAGACCTTATAAATGCATTGTCTGGCACATATGCAATTGGATTATATAGATATTAACGAGACTTTATAACGCGAAATGGAACAACTCAATGAGCTGAGCTCGTTCGGCAGCAGTGTCATCAAAATGTTCGCTAGCGAATTTTCAACCAGTAAAGATTTCTCGATATATCAATTTGAAGACAAAATTTGCCTTCTTCCTACTCTCCGATCACATACTCACATCCCTCACTCCCAATCCAAACTTCGTGGACTTTTCCAGCAGGAACATCAACCCTCTCTCCAGCTCCAAAAGTCTCCTTTTTCACTTCCCCATTATACAATTTAGCATTGTCATCGGGATAAGTGATTGTGAGAGATCCACGGCGGATAAGGTGTGTTGTTAGACCGCTGTGCGAGTGCGGGGAATAATGGGCGTTGCTGAACGGCCAGGTCAGCATCAGTATATCCACCCCCAAATGAAAGACTGATTTACAAATAATTCAATCGGTTCTCCCATTTTGGGTGTATCATCTCTAAGATATCCATGTACCTGTACGTACCTTTGATCTGTCCAGGTGAAGATATGTCGAAAACCCCACTCGCGGACGAGACGCTCGCTCTCGGTGCGTGTGCCGGTTGGATACTTTTCCGTCATTGCCGTAGGATTTTCAGTGTCACTTTCTTGCGCATGCAATGAGATATACTCAAGTTAGAGGCTGGCTGATGCGCATATGTACCGAATAAAGCTAAGTCAGTCGGAACCTTCCCCTTGCTGTTTTGAGGCTTAGCTCTTGCCGCTTTAGGAAACCCGAGCTGAGTACAGTTTTGTTAGCCTCGTTTTGGCCTGACCTCGTGAAGACAAGAGGGAACTGGAGGGTATGCTAACCCCGGAGAAGTCAAATATTTTGAAGTCCAATGTTGTAAGAGATGTACTCGACGGCGTGTTAAGATATATGGTAGAGTTAAAGAGTCGAATGATGTCATAGAATAATGTATCACGTGTTTACATACTACTTTGCATATGCAGGACAAAAGTACTATAAGAACCCCTAATCTAGGATGAGGGGTACTTATAGACGATCTGATAAAGTGTTCGACTCGGCCCGATGGCAAAGACAGCTCCCGATTATATTTGTTAACATTATATCAACTAGTGAAGGAAAAGCAAGAATTTCGTATCTCATGGTCAGAAAAACGCTATAAATAAAAAAGGAGAAACAAAAGCACCATGGTAACACCCTATTGCAACTTTTGCCTGAGGTTTACCCATTATCAAAAGCGTGGGGTGTCAATCTCCAAGATGTGCGCAGGCCTTTGTATTTTCGGACCAATTGAATCCATTCTCAAAATTGAAGAGGGAATTTCCATGATTTGGAGAGGGTATGAGGTGAAGAGATCAGATCATATTTGGAAAGCATGGGCACACATGACCGCGCAAAGTCCCTGTACCCATGATAGATATGTAAGATGGGACTTCGAGCCTATCATGCGCAAGGTGTGTGACAGATGTGACAGTTTTTGCCTGGGATAACCCAAACTTCTTTCCCCTGCGCTTGGCAATTAGGGCATCGCACACCGGGCATCTACGGAATAGTTAGTATATCTTTCTTAAAGTACTTTAGGTACCACATTGATGTGGTAGAGGGGCACGAACCTTGGTGACGGTAGTGGAGTTTGAGCACACTGGTGGGGCACATTGGGAGGAAGTCATGATGTTTTTGGTAGGGTATGTCGGTCAAGCAATGATAGAGAGGAGTATGGATAGAGTTCAATGCCGAAGCCCGAGGATAGTGCTTAGATACCTCTTAAGTCGAAGTATGAAAACAAGACTATGGGAATAGGATGAGGAAGGGGTCCTTATAAGGCATGGAAATCAAGGAAAGCAAGGAAAGAAACCAAAGGAGAAGAATAGATCTAGTTCATACTGGCTAATCAAAAGGAAGGAAAGGAATCAAAGGAAATTAAAAAAAATATATATAAAAGAAAAAACAAAAAATTAGAATCTCAAAATTAAATATCAAAATAATACCAAAATAATGTTCAAATAATATCACATTCTATCAAAATACCACCTCGGTCACTTTGTTTCCCCAAAATGATCAGCTATTGACAGTCGATGGATGCTCCTCCTGACGGCTTGGCTTTGCTGCACAGGCCATCAGAGCCCAAAAAGAAAAAGCCAAACGCAGAGTCATCACTTTTGTCGCACGCCACTAGCCCACTAAAACCAATCACAGAGGTGTCCTCGGTACCTCCCGAGGCCTCCGGTCCTTGAATTGATGTTTGCTTTCTACGTCCGTAAACCTCGGAAGGATCAGCAATCCAAAAGGATTAGACAAAGAAATGAGCTTCGGCAACTTGCATCTCATTCACCGATACTTCAAAGGAAAAAGGGGCAACTCTGAGCACATTCAGTAGTTGATGTATCAACCTGGAACCCTATGGCAGATCCAAAATAGGTCTAGTGCCTCGGTCAGCTTGGTATTAGCGTTGTGTTAGCGTTGTGATTCGCCAACAACATTCGACATGGCTGCGTTTCTCGTCCTCTCTCCAGTCCTGAGAAGACGATCTGACCCGATCATTGGTTCTATGTAACGGAGTAGCCCGTTCAACATATATTTTCCTGTTATGCATGCAAATTCCATGACGCATGAACCCCCTATCGAATTACGAATATCTTCCACATCCAGTTTGCCATCTGATCTATACTCGAGAATCCGAGGACACTGAATTCAGTACTAGAATTCATGTGTGAATTATCTCTAACTTTATCGGGGAAATTACCGGTCAACTTGACTTATCTGTTAGTCCCCACTAGCAATGTTGATCAATCTGATGCATATCGCTTGGCGCGCGTTGATCGCTCTTCATGAACTTTTACAGAACTCCATAGTGATTCTCAGGCTTCCAATCCTCCCATAATATTCCTCCAATCCCCACAATTGGGGCTATGGCTCGCAGCATGCAAGTATTTCACCTACCCGTACGGAGTACGGAGCACTCCGTACTACGTGTCTGTAGCGAAGTCCAAGGCTGGGCTGCTATCCCGCGTTCTTACACGTATCTTGCCAACAATTCCCTTTTAACATCCTTATGGCCGTCAGATTCCGTATTAACTGTATTGCCGCGACTTTTTCTCTCTCCTCAAGGTCTTATGATATATAAGTGGGTAGCTACCTACATATGTAGGCAAGCGCTCACATGGCAGTTCTACTAAATTATGTGGAAAGACTATTCTGATATCACCAACGTCACAGATTGCCATGTGCATATCCTTGCCTTAGCGCTCTTCTGGAAACCAGCATATTTGGATTCTCTTCGATTATATTCCGTACTCATGCGCGGCATCGGTACAATGCATATATCATGCGGCTAATGAATGATCTCGCAAGTACGGAGTACTACTCTGTACATGACACCAGCACGACACATACAGCACGGAGTAGGGACGGTATGTACTCCGTACATATGCACCTGCTTCAGATGTCAATGCAGCCGCCTAGCTAAAACAAGGCATGATCCGCCCCAAGTCTTGGTCCTTCTACCTTTATCCAGACATCCCGAGAAAGTGCAAGGTGAAGGTTAATGAGTTGTTTCTAATGACTGTCTTCTGTCAACAAAGTCGTCGCGTTCACAACTCTGCACAATGCAGCCCCAATGAATCAAACAATTCAAGTGCCGGAGTGACCTTGTTTCTGTGCAACGCCCTCGAATCCCGAGGTCAGATATGCACGCTGACCGACACGATTGTATCTCACAATCGTGATTGCTAATCTGTAGTCTGTCGCTTATGACTATATCGAAAATGGGGTTTGTAATACATATTCCGACGGACTGGTCACATTTGTCAGATGCCAAAGCGTCTTTCTGCAACCTTTTTGTTCCTGATGCTCCCCATGTGGAAGTGCGCTGTACGACATGCTGCCCAAATTCTGCCCAAAGACGAATCGCGATTCTAGCCCCGTGTTTCCTGGAATGGTCTTCTTGGTTTACAGAATATCACAATTTGTCCAATACCTAACTCTATACTAAGAATTGTGAACATCAATGAACTTCGGCGACGGCTTATTCTGGGTAGTCAAGTAAACCGCTTAACAATATTAACCAGCAAGATACCCCCGGTCTTCGTGCCGGTGCAATCATGAAGATGAAGCAACCGATGACCCTCCCGTAGCCGGTCAAGTCGGATACAGGCCCACGCCGCCAACGGATCCCGTCCGATCTCATCGTCCTTGATCTTGAACCTAAGAGAAAACAGGATTGTGTCAGTGGCTTGTACTCTGTGCATAGTCACTGCATATTCGAAGGTGAAACGCATTACGGGGCAGTGTGCGTGATAGTGGGGGTGATGCTGAGGAAAGATGCAGGTTGCCCTGCTAAGCCCAAGCCCAAGCCCCCACGATGCATCGTGTTACCAAAGGGGAGCGGGGAATAAGCAAATACCAAGTCCAGTCGTCATGTTTATGTGACGCGGGCAAGTGCATACGTTCTTTGGCGGGTATCACAATGCAGGGTTTATGCCTGCATACTGGACAACGAATTTATGCGATGGGAGGTAGAAACGCAGCAAGGGGAAGATATGTGATGAAGGGAGAGGCCAAAGCACGAGGTAAATTGCTCGATACATCGAGGCAAGCAAGGAAGAGATAGAAGAGAAAGACTGACCGTAAGAAACTAAGCTCCTCAATTATCCCCGCCACGGTCGGGAACTCCAACTTCTGGCCCCCGAAGTCCGGGTTCCGACCTGAAGAACTCTTCGTGCATCGCCTGTAGCTGCTCTTTTCTGCGTCAGAGCTCGCGTCATCCTGGTCCAGGACGAGTTCGCCTTCCGGTTCTTCGACGTGCAGCTGGCAATTCACATAGGGTTTGAATCCCCTCTCACTGTGGTCGCCCGGTGGCAGAGAGAGGTCTTGCGCGGCGTATACTTCAATTGAAAGGGTCAAGTTGCGACGCTGGATAACATCTGTCGGAGAATTACCACTTCGGTAGCCGGAGGGCTTCAGTCGCCAGCCGTGGGTTCCAACAAACATTCCGTGGTTGAGCATCATGCCCTTATCTAAATTCTGCCAGTTTAATGCTACCAGCTGGGCGCCACGTCGCCAGTAGAATGTTGGATCAAGGTTCGACGAGGTGACTCGGAATGCGAACGGATAGATACGCATCAGAGATCTTCGGTTGTGCTCAAACAAGGCGTCGCGGTGGCTGACATGGGCTTCTCGCGCTGCTTTTTCGGAAAGTGAGAACACATGGAGAGGAACTTTGGCCTCTATTAATGAGATTAGAATCATCATGACTGTATCTACAATGCTCATGCATACCCGGTTGGTCAAAATGACTGAAATGGTACGCGCGAGTATAAACAGCCAGTTTGGCCAGCGCATCGAGAATCTTCGATGGCTTCGCTGACTGCTGCCCCGAGGACTTGTCGTCTGATTTTGGTGGCGTCAGAGCTTCTCCTTCGACTTTCTCTTCCCCGCCGCTTAGTGGAACACATTTGCTCTTGATCAAGATCTTTCTCTTCAGATCACCTAGCGAGGGAAGCTTTCCGTTATCAGGAGGAGGCTCCACGAGGAATCCTTTCCATGCCTCCAACATGATGTCAACCATCGTCTGTTGCTGCTCAAGAGACGCATGTACCTCGAGACTAATGACAAGTGGAAGATCACTGACAACGAATCCGCTGTCACGGATTGCATAGCAGATTTCACGAAATGTAGTTCCCTTGGTCAGGGTATGTCCATGCAGAACACGAGGCTCGACCCGAACAGGCATGTGGCTCGTTGCAGCCTCTTCATCCACTGGTCGCTGAGGCGACTTGACGGATTTGCGGCGAAGGACACTACTAAGTTTCGCTTCCAACTTGGACGAGACTGATGCTCTCTTTTCTTTGGCGGGTTTTTCCTGGCCTCCTTTCTTGGTTTTCATCTTTTCTTTCGATTTGCTTCCCGTATTATTCTTCCCTTCTTCCGTCTCTGAATCACTGCTGCTACTGTCGCTGTCACTTGAGTTTGGAGTGTCCAATTCCCCATCCCAGACATCGATCTCGACGGACCTACAGCCACGGAGGAGGACCTATTGGAGCATGAGTAAGTCAAATATTGAAGGCTGGGTTCTAAGAGGTCATAGCATCCATAGAGGGTGAATGGTAGGACTATTCTGCAAATCATCAACTCACAGATGTATAAGCACTAGCAGCAGCGTCGCTGTACAACTGATTACCCGTCAAATAAGTGTTGTGGCTCGATGAGATAAAGTAATCTGAAATAGGCGCGGAAAGATCGAGGGCATCTTCCGGTCCCATCGCAGATGAGTTCGCATCTTTCATGTAGGCACGAAAGGCATCCAGGGAAGCCAAAACATCGACTGACTCGGGAGCATCTGAGACAGTGTCATGCTGCATTTCTTGGAGGAAATAGTTTGTAGTTGGGGCATGTGCATCAACAAACTTGTAAATCTTCTGGATATGATTGTCCAAAGATGGATGGAACTTTTCCACGGTATCTGAGTGTATCTTGGGTGGCTCATGGAGTGCTTGTTTAGCACGCTCCACTAGAGTTTCGACTTTCTCCATCTTGAGCTGTACCGACTAGGGACGTGTAGGAGATGCAACTTTCAATAGCTGGAGGGGTTGACAAAGGCCCCACTTGTTTCAGGGGCTTCAGGAATTTCAAAGATGAATTTTAGAAATATAACACTTTGGAGAAGATGACAGAAAATGTGCCACGTGCGTCTCTCCCCACTGCCACTGCCACTGCCAACGCTAGGCAACGCTGGGCACCGTGGCGCCTTTGCATGTATCGTGCATATAGATCTTTTTTGGACTTGATGAATTTGTACTCATCCTTCAAGAGATTGAGATATATGGATGTACATGTATTATGACCTTCGCTTCGCACATTGGTAGCTTTGTAGTTTTGCTTCGACGAAACCTTGAAAGTATCAAATTACAGTAAATATCAAAGATAGTCAAAGGCTAGAAACCTTTCCAGGTTGACAATATTATCTTCTTTCTTACGCCGGTGTACTTCCAACATTCCAGCTGATAAATCAAAAACCCCGCTCCAGGGCTTCACCGGGCTCTGCTTATAAGTACGAACAACTTCCAAGGTCATCCCAAAACAAATATACATATCTACACATATCTACACATATCTAAAAAACATCTACATGTCTACATATATTACGCAATGACTGAATCTAATATCCACTTCTTTGATCTCCTATCAGACCTACCTGGTACAGACTATACCCTTGGATGACTCCAATGACAGACCACTAACTCAAATAGGTCCTTCCAAGTCATGGTCTGCCAACACTCTCCGGACTAGAATGGTCCTTAACTTCAAGGGTATCCCCTACACTCAAAGTTGGGTATCGTACCCTGATATTGCACCTCTCCTCAAGGCTGCAGGTGTCCCACCTGGCGATCCAGCGATGCCTTACACGCTACCGGCAATTAGCCATAAAGGGTCGATAACTAGTAACCCGGATGGTATACTCATGGATTCCGAGCCGATTGCCATGTACATCGACAAGCTGTACCCGTCGCCCCCACTCTTCCCCCACGGCGACGCAAGCTACTCACTCATGGTTGCCTTGCTGAAGGTACTGGCCCAGATATTACCAAGTATCAGAAAGCTGGTTGTTCCCAATGTCCCATCTGGATTAGATGAGCGTGGACGTGAGTACTTCATCCGGACGCGCTCGAAGACTTTCGGGAAACCGCTTTCTGAGGTCAGGCCGACAGATGAGGCAGAGTTGCTTGCTCTTTGGCAGCATATCGAGAAGGAGGCGGCGACGCTGATTAAGATGCTGAAGGGTAAGGATGGAAAGAAGGGGCCGTTCTTGGAGGGTGAAACGGCTGGCTATGCGGATATTATTCTCGCTGGGGTTTTGGGTTTCTTGCAACGGTTTGAGCAGAGCACCTTTGAGAAGCTGATGGTTCTTGGGAATGGGGAGCTCAAAGCGCTTTATGAAGCTTGTTTGCCCTGGCTGGAAGGGCAGGGTCAGGAGAAGGAGTGGCCAATTCCCCAGTGACTTATATGCCCGACTTTCTCATCGATAGTTATGGTTGTTTGGGATACTCTGCGGTGAGCTTAGATCTGAGACAAGTATCATTTGATATATAGCACAATCGAAAACAAATCAATGTAATAATACACCCCGGGTGTTCCAAAGGGCCCGGTCTATCCAATATCCAATGCAATCTCGAGGCGGTTCTGGGCGCCTGCGACACAACCCCAACAAGAAAAGTACAATCGGGTTCATGTTTGCCACTCGAATTGAAATCAAGCAAGCTTACAGACCACGCAAGAAGTTGGACTCCTTGATGGCCTTCCGTCTGGCATCGCGTGCACTCTTGATGATCTCCGAGCGCTGCTCGAAGCCCTCGGTGGCATCGGCCATGGCATCCGCTGAAGGTGCGTCGCGGTTGTAGGGCGCGGGAGTGATATCGTGAGCGTGATGGTGAGCGGGAATCTTAGCGGCGAGGGGGCCAGTACGAGCAGCCAGCTTCTTCTCGTAACGCTTCCGTTGCTTCTTGTTCAAGGCTGCCACAGGGTAAGCATCATATGAAAGTTAAGAAACCTAGTGTATCTTACTGCTTGGGTCAACACCGCCCTGCTTAGTCTTTGCATCCTTCGAGGCATCCCCCAAGAGGTTCCATAGCCAATCTGGGTACTCAGAATCCTCCTTGGCAAAGACATCCGGCTTGTTCTTGAAGTAGTTGAGTCCGTTCAGTTTGGTTCCGGCCGGGCAGCTGCTCGGTGGGCGCACAGCAGCGGGTTTTGTGGAGGCTCCTGGGTTGACATCGGTATGGACACCTTCAGGGGTGCTCAAAGGCTGAGAAATGCCGGGTGTAGCGGAGGAGATGGCGGACGGGGTTGTGAGGTCGCCAACCGTGGGTTGACGTGGGGAAGGTGGAGAGGGAGTAGCAGCCACAGGAGGGTTGTTATCACTGCTATATGAGCGGAATTGGCTGCGAACCAGAGGCAGCTGGCGCGCACATGCTGAAGCCGTCCGGGTCACTGGCTGCTGGGTGAATCGGGACAGCATTGTTGTGCGGCAGCTTTTGCAGATCATTGTGGCGGGATAAATCTGAGAAAGAAAGAGAATGGACTGGAAAGATATTAAAAGATCTAATAGAAGGCTGTGCGAGAAAAGGGATCACAATTGCGTTGAGATGCAATAGACAAGCGCGGAGACACAGCTGTCGCAGAAAACTGCGGCCATATTTGATGCCAAGACGGAGATCAGTCACGTGATACATCGACAAATATGGCATATGGCACAAAAAAGATCCCTTCCTTGCTGCAAGGCCCTAGTCTTCATATATTATACGCCTAACAGATAAATATCCTTACCATTCTATCATTCTCGAACTTTCTTGTTCTAACCTCGTCATCTAAACTGGTCGCCCGCCCATATTTATCACGTGTTACCGCGCCTCTCAGTCAACATCTATTGATTAGTTCTCAATTACCAATGTTCATTGAAAATACCTCCTGCAAATTCCAAGGGTAAAATGCAAAATTCTCTCAATTTGTATACAGCGAGAAAGGAAAGTATCAAAATGACTCTACACACAAATGGGGAAAACGTCACAGGGATTGGCAGAGCATGCTCGCAAGTGATGCAACTCTAAACAACATGCTAAACCAGAAAAAACGGACAATAATTATACTGAAACACGTGCCGTTGAGCAGATATACTAGAAACAGATGGGAAAGGCAAACCGACATCACTGTCATGTCGGACCAACAGTTTGAGGGCCGCGCTATGAAGACAGACCACTGACATCCAAGAAGTTGCAGATGTCCTGGCACGCATCCTTCAGGCTCTTTTCTGTCTTCCATTGAAGCTCTTCTGTGGACCGGTCAACGACCGCCACGCAGGCTCCAACGTCACCTTCGCGACGTGGCGCGGCCCGTCGAGGAATGGGCTTCTCAATAACTGACTCCATGGTGCTGACTACATCCATCACGGAATTTCCCTTTCCAGTACCGAGGTTGAATGTGCGGAAATTCTCTATCAGCTTGCCCTCGTTGGCCGAACTGAGCGCGGCAATATGCCCACGAGCTAGATCGCTCACATGGATGAAGTCACGGACGGCAGTGCCATCCTCGGTTTCCCAATCTGTCCCAAACATCGAAAGCTCGGAATACTGGCCGGTCATGACTTTGACAACGACGGGAAGCAGGTTTGTTGGCGCCTGTCTTGGGTCTTCGCCCAAAAGCCCGGAAGAATCACACCCAACAGGGTTGAAATAGCGGAGCGCAACAATGGTCCATTCTGGGTCTGATGCAGCCAGGTCAGCCAGGATGGTTTCACACATCCATTTCGTCCGTCCATACGGGTTGGTTATTCCAGTGCATCCTGGTTGGATGGATTGCTGTGAGCCTGCATGATCTATGTACAACTCTTCTTTGTGAACACAGAGTTCCTCTTTCAATGGAAGACCCGAGGTTGCGAGGGTTCCGTATACGGTGGCGGAAGACGAGAAGATAAAGGTCTTGATGCCGAAGTCTCCAAGGATTGTGGCAAAGTCGACAAGACCGCTGACATTGTTGGAGTAATATTTCAGTGGGTTCCGAATGCTCTCCTCAACGGCCTTATAAGCTGCAAAGTGGATGACTCCGGCGATTCTTGACTTGGGGCTGCCCCACCGGGATGGGAGCTGGTATTCCTCAAGTAGTGGCTGAAGGGCTTTGATGTCACGATAATCATGTGCATGCAATCGTAGAGATGGCATCTTCGTGCCATTCTCTTCGTGATGCTTGTTGGCCAAGAGACTGATTCGGCCGACAACGTCCTCGAATGCATTGCTGAGATTGTCGATCACAATGACGTTGTAGTTTGCCTTCAGCAGCTCAAGCGTGGTGTGACTACCAATAAAGCCGAGCCCACCAGTGACAAGAATACAGCTTTGCGAAGGGAGCACGCGCAACAAGTCAAGGAGATTGTCGAATGGGTCTCCAGCCTCTGTTGTAGGTGTATCCAGGGCGATAGGATATTGCATAGGACTGCTTGCATCTGATCTTTGGGGACTGTCCGACCTCGAAGAGGAACATGATGTTGGCTCAATCATGGCGAGATGTCAACAATGGATGCCAGGTACGTTATGCTACCGAAAAGAGAGAAAATGTTATACGTTATTATATGACCAAGATGGAGGGATATCCTGACCCTTTAGTAGGCCTTTAACCAAGGTTTTATACAAAACAAGCGAGGTACCTGCGTTGCCTCAGATTTTCCGGTTGAGTCCACCTTTTATGCCATCCTTGGCGAATTCAGCACAGTCCTCCGGCAAAAATAGAAGAGAAAGAAATAAAATGAATCAGCATAAGAATAAAAAAAGCACAAAGGAAGAATAAGAGGGGTAGAAACTGGAACAGAACATGCCCCTTGGTGGGCCAGGCGGCTGGATCTTAGGATATCATTCTGTACATCCAAATACCCTAAATGCACCTGTACGTCAAGGCCTCAGCTCGGGATAATTCAATGAAATTGAATTGGTATTATTTTACTATTATTTTACTATTATTTTATTATTTTTTTGTACATTTTTCTTTGTATTTTTCCACTCCTAAGACATTTTCTGCATATGTTCGAGGCCCCCATATCCATTTTCGGTCGAGCACTAAGCCCCAGGGCATTGAACTTGTTCTAATCTGTTTTTTTTTTTTTTTTTGCCCATGGTGTGATGAAAAAGAACATGCTCATATGTAACCGGTAGTCTTCGTGAACCCACTGTCCATTTCGACTTTCTCTCTATAACCAATATGTCCGATCCGAGAAACCACGTGAGCAGGCGGGCATGTCTTAAGTCGAAGCGTTCTCGTTTCATCTTGGCAATTATAATCCTTATTGTGATTATTGCTGTTGTACCCTCCGTTGTGGTCACTACTCTCAAGAAGAATAACATGGGTCCGAAAGCGAAGGTGTTCGTTCCACTCTATGTATACCCTGCTCCTGAGGCATGGACTCCGTTAGAAAATGTGTATGTCCCAATTCCTTTTATCTAGTCTCCTCTCAGTTTCCCGATTACTTTCTATCCCGACAGCCCTGTCGCGCCGTTCGGGCGCCAAACCATCCCATCACATATCAAAATTTGAAAAGCAAAAAAGCAAAAAGAAAAAGCAAAAATATAGAGAAAAGCAGCTGCTGAACGCTATAGGATATCCGCCCATCCCAATGTCAACTTTACCGTCGTGATCAATCCAGGAAACGGTCCAGGGCCTGAATCCCTCCCAGATGGCAATTACACCCGTGAAATCCCAAAGCTCACTGCATACGAAAATGTGCGTCTTTTGGGTTATGTGTACACCTCATACGGGAAGCGCAATGTCTCTGCTGTTCGCAAGGATATCCAAACCTATTCAGATTGGCCGACTAATTCCTCCAACCCTAACCTGGCGGTTCGCGGAATTTTCTTCGATGAAACACCTCAGCAATACGATGCTCAAACCTTGACCTATTTGCAAGGGTTGACGGACTTTGTTAAGGGCATTAATGGTCTTGGTCCTGATCAATTTGTGAGTTCTCCAATTCTTCCGAGACTTTTACTTGATTTATTCACCTCATACCATACACCCCCTGTCTCGCCTCATCTTAGTTTCGTTTCTTCGTTTTATCCTGTTTCGCGTTTTATTTCCCTCAGTTTATCAATAACTTGTAAAGCCACACTATGGCATTATTGAATTCTATCCCAACACCCATGTTCCACCCCGACCTGCATTACAATGGCCCCCCTTTCTGGAATATATAGGCGAATTCCATGGAACTAACTAAGACTATCAGGTTGTGCATAATCCTGGCGTTATTCCCGATTCTCGGTACTTGGCAACAGCCGATTCAACCGTTGTATTCGAAGCTGCTTACACTACTTTCCACGAACGGCAAGGCGCTAAGCTGTTCACCAATATCCCAGAAAGCAACCGTACACAACTTTGTGCCATCGTTCACTCCGTGCCTGAATCTGTCGAGGGCAAGGAGCTTCGCAGTCTAGTCAAGCAGGTGCGCATGGTCGCGGACGAGGTGTACATCACCCATCTTAACACAGATTATTATGCCTCCTTTGGAGCTAAGTGGACTGAGTTTGTCAACCTGATGGCAGCTTAGAGGTTTTAATATTTGTGTTAGATTACTTGCTTGAATATGAGATGCACTGATGAGGTAAATTAGGTCAAGCGAGTATGTGCATATTTTTTTGGTGTAACGAGCATGTTTTCACTCATTTGGTTCAATGATTGAATAAATTAGTTTTCAGACTATTTTTATTCCATCTTGATTTTTGTGATTTACGACATAGACTGGAATGAAAAGTTTTCTCATTCGACTCCTGTCGCTTCAATGCACAAACGCAGGCGGTCTTTGTTGGTGAGCTATACATTTTGGGTCAAGGTAGAGTGGAGAATAATACGTGTATTTGGTAATTTACATTTATTTCTTACATGTCGTTTTTTTCAAATGGAGAATAAGATACATCGATACGTCAACAATATGATACCACTAGGGCCCAAAGGTCCAGATGTCTATGAATAAATCCACCAAGAAATGTACCCCGTATGTACTCCGTACTCGGTACCTGTAAATCGGAACGTGGCAAAACAACAGCATGGTTAGATTGTGGAGCAGGGGTATAGATATAGAACTGGAGAGTGGATTATGCAATTCATTTTAGGACATCCGCTGGGTACGAGGTATAAGCTAAACGTGGCCTAAGCTGACTTGACTTAAAAATTTAGTATCGACGATATGGAAAATGCTCAAACACCTTCCTTTCCCGGGTTCCGGCCCAGACCAGCGTGCTTCGCAATGTCTCCGAGTTACCGCCATCCGATCGATCTATGAGACCTGCAGATAGCGTCATGTAGGCCCACAGCCAATGCCATCTCAAAGGTCGGAGGTATGTACCTACTCCCAAAATAACCCTGCAGAATTGACGCTCAATTATCTTGGCAGGGCATATCGCACAGCTGCTCTTTTAGTTAGCGATGGACTTGATCCTTTATTCACGGTTGGGTCACGTCCTCTGTACCTCGTACGGAGTATATCCAACAGGAACATCTTGAAACAGCCCTGGAGAGTCTAAATTGCTATACTAAGCCACGTGCTGAGCTAAAGTAAGCTGCAAGTCTGATATAGTGTAAAGCAACCATGGATTGAAACAGCAGTGTAGGACATGACCTAGATAACGACTTTAGACGTAAGTTATGGCTATACATAAATCCCAAAATTAGCCTCTCCGATACAACGCTGCGTTGGAACAGGAGAAATATACAGAGTATGCATGTAGGTTTAGCGTGGTGTAACTGCGGGTGTTTCGAGTTACAAACCTGACCTGTCCCATTCCAAGGGGGTCATATTCCAGGAACCAGGCCGGCGTGGGATGTCGTTCCACGAGACTGGTGCACAGATGACAGTTTCAATGAATCTTTCGCCCGTCCCTGGTCCCCTGTCCACGGTCCCCGGCGGAATACAGAATGATACCGTCGCGGGCAATAGTTCCTCATCCTTTGGCTGGAGATGATTTTGTACACAACTTCCGGCTCTGACCGACCAGGCTTTTCCCTGTTACCTCGTTACTAGATCCAGTTTGAGAAAATTTCCTACCACTTCACCCTTGTTTTTCAGCCTATGCGTATGTACTACATAGTATCTGTAAATCGGGTTATACCCCTGAAATTGACCGCCGGTGGCGGAAGCCACTCTCTCGTGGCATGCCCGGGTATTCCAGGAAAGAATCGTCGATCTATCTTTTGGCTAATCCGTACAGTTGTCTCCGATAGCCGCCGGGAAGAAGTGGACTAATTAATGTAGTAGGAGTATGGTCAATCCTTCCTGTCATGCATCGCTGATTCGACTCCGTACGGGCATGAGTTGACCAAAATTGAGTTCCTACGGACTTGAAACAAGCCGACCACAGTCGATTGCCGGTGCAAAGTACATGGTGGAAGCGCTTGGGGGGGATAACGACGGACGCCGGATAGGCTTTTACTGTGGCACGGTCAGCTACAACACATCAGCATGCATGGATCTACTCTGTACTCCGTAGATCCGATCAAATTGCGAACAGTCATCTGCGCGTGCGTCGATGTTTGAGGTTCAGTTCGCATGGTGTGACCCATGCAGCTTTTCAAAAGCCACCGACTCAAACCGGGCATTTCAATCGAGGTTATCCACACCCTTTTTGGTTAACCATAGATTACAGAGAGTCCAGGCTTGAATTCTCGCTTGGTATGACCATCATGAGATTGAGTTAGTCTCCTAAGTGACACATCATCCTCTCGTTTTCGGTTAGCTTCCGTCATGGAAACTGCAGTTTAAGAAGTGGACATAAACCCAAACAAGCGAAGGGAACAAATCATCAGCCACTGGGAGCTCAGACCACTGTTGATGGCTAGGGAGGGGCGCAGATCCCCCGGGACAGCCACTCGGGCAGCCGATCTTAGCGCCCTTGGGTCCTTGCTTTTGTGACCACCTCGGTACCTGGGCATGCGAGGCGGGCGGCTTCCATGGTTCGTTTGTTATCGGTGGGCGGGTAGAGCACATGTGGCTGTGCATGAATTCCAAGGTTAAACAGCCAAGCAGAGAGAGAAAAAAAAAACAAATCTAAAGCGAACAGCGGTGACCTGAGCCGTGTTCACACCGGTCCTTGTATCAAGATCGGCCGTGAGACGTGCAATCTTTTTTCGTGTGATGAAACTGGGTCGAACTATGGCGTTGAGCTTGGGAAGACAAGAAGAGCTTCTGGATTCTGACTATGGGGAGAAATAGTACGGAGTACATACTCCGTATGTCGTACCTATCTCGGTAAGTAACACGAGTAACACTACAACATACGGGCGACTTCAGTTTCCAGCCCCAGGGGTTATGCAAGGGCCACGCTCAACTTCAATGCTCCCATTAGGATTTTATGATACGTCAACTGTGGCAAACAAAGTCTCAATATATTATTGGCAGAAAAAATAAACTCAAGGTCTTAGCGATTTACCTACATACCTACATACGTACTTGACATATGATACGTAAAATACATTGAATAACATTGAACTTGACAGTTGTATGTAATTTAACCAAAAGTACTGTAAAATACTGCAAAGATACCTCATGTGCACGTGCCATAAGTAAGTTACCGGATGAACCCGAAAGGATTAGCCGAGTATTCCGTGGATGAACTCCCGAACTTAACCAATCAAACCAGCAAAGATCTCCGCTTCAATCCACTGCTCCAATGCATATGCCAAGACTGTCAAGACCAACAAAACATCGTCTGTCACTGATCAATATTGGATTGGGGAAACTCCTCTTCCTAGCCCCGATCATCACGCTACAAACACCGATCCTTTCATCGAGTCCACTTGTGGAGAGCGAATTGGTAATTGAGTAATTGCTTTGTTCTACCCCAAAACAGTTACAAAGGAGTAATCTATAGTTGTACTTACGGTGGCAAAATGCAAGAGAGAATAGACAAGGATCAAGTCCTGTTAATTAATTTCCTTGACGTTTACCGGGGTATTTCAAAGCCTAGACTAAGCAAGCCATACCTAAGCGAGGTCTAATTCCCTGCAAGTAAAAAGCAAAAAGCAGCTACTGCCGGATGGCTGATCCGGCATAAAAACGGGCCTCAGTACAAACCTCGCCCAATGTGCCGTCACATCCCGCTACGAGTAGGCTGGTCATACGGAAGTCTCGGGGAATTGGACATTCCATTAGCGGCTGTGGTCACAGCTACCGTGGCTTACAGCCTATGCGCAAAAATGCACTAAGAACATAAATGATTCGCGCTAACGATGGTGTTGCAGGCACGGAGTAGTTGATTTGTGATGAGCTGGCCATTTAAGCTGACATTGGTGCCAGAGCCAACTCATGATATGCCTTTGAAACAAGATCCTTCGTCGGAGTAGGTGAGCATAAGCTGACTACCACGCATACCGATGGTGTTGGGCGATTGTTGTGAGGTCAACAGGCTCAGATTCAGGCCAAAAAAAGCGACAATGTGCTCAGCAAAGCGTATTCGCTTTCGCTTTGGGGCTCCCGGGTTGCTGTACCATGATCCTGCGTTTCGTTGCCGTCAATGCCGTCAATTGAAGGCAATAGGAGCCAATTGGGTGATTGTTGGATGCATTAAGTAGACACTATGAGAATAGCGCATGTTGCAAAGCGTTAAGTCTTGACAATGACGGGTGCGTTCCTGCTTCGCTATCTAGGCACCACTCACTTCGTAGCGACTTGCCAATTAAGTTCTTTTTAGCTCATGTTCATATAGCGCTTGAAGACGATGAAAAAATGACTAGATCACGGATGGTGCTAAAAATAACACGTTTTATTATTTATACATGCAATACAACTCCCAATGAGATGGGACGAGCCCAACCCAAGCATAAAAACTCAGATCACGAGCAGTATTCGACCCAAGTATCCAAGTCCATGTTTTTGATAACAGTTGAGAAGTTGCCAGCACCATTGGCCGTACATGCAGAGTTTACCTGCTTGGTCGTTACCGCCTTGTTGTTGTTGGTATCTTCGCCCTTGGGGTACTCGATGTGGAAGACAGGCTTGCCCGCCTCAATGAAGGGCGTATAGGTATCACACTCGTCGTACTCAGCACACTGTTCATTGACACACCACTCCATGTTATCAATGACAGATTCAATAATGTCTCCGCCATTCTTCAATCCAACTGAGAGGCCACGACTGTGAGACTGGGAAGCAAGCCAGTTCACGTAGTTTATGGCATCAGCCCTAGTGATATCAACTCCGGGGTTATTTTCGTATCCGTCGATGTTATCAGGATCGACACCGTCGCATCCCTTATCCACGGCAATATCTAGACGCGCCTGCATAATATTGCGCACTTTGGTGGACTTGACATTCAGCCATTTCTCGCCGGGCCATCCGTCTAGATCATTGCCCTTGTCTTTGTCGTCGAACTGGCTAGCGTCGTCGCGCCAGTCCTCAAACGAGCCAGCAGAGAAGTAGCAGATCACTTTGCGGCCCATTTTCTGGAGATCTGAGATGACTGTTTTGTTGTTGTCGAAAAGATCGATGTCGTAGATGGATGCGTCCACCGAGGTGGAGAGCTGTTTATTCTCCAGCTCGGACTTCAGGATAATCTGCCATTTGGCGCCAGCGGTTGGCTGCCACTTCACAGTAGTGTTTGTTGGTGTTGTGGTGTTTGTTGGTGTCGTGTCGGGACCGGTGCCCCCATCGCTATCATTGTCATCGTCTCCGCTTTTCAGTCCAATCCCCAGCCCGACACCTAGACCGACACCCAGAGCGACGATGACAAGAGCGACGGTTCCAAAAATAAGTGCCTTCTTCTTTGTCGACCAAGCCCACCAGCCTGTCTTGGATGGTTGCTCACCCATTAAGGCAGAATGTGAAGCGAGAGATAAAGCGACGAGAGAAGCTTAGAATGTAATATGTGAGATCAAGCGTGTTAACCGAAATATTGGGGTATGTGTATTTAATGAAAGAGTATGGGGTTGTCTAAGGGAGTTAAAAAAAAAAGGAGACAAAAAAGATCAGCACTAGACCGGGAGATAAGCGCCTTCAAGCTTAAAACAAACAAGGCCCAGAGCGCAGGCCCGGGAGATCTGTACTGGAAAGACCTGGAAGCCTGAAAAATGCAAAGAGCCAAAACAAACTGAAAATACTTGAAAGGGCAATGTATACGATTAAGGGGAAATGAGGATGCCTAGTGAGAACATTTCAAAGACCCCGCTTGGCAAAGGGCGAAAAACGAAAATTAAGGTGGTGGACCTCCCGAAGCCGGGAGCCTGCTGATCTTATGGATATTAAATGTTGGAGACTCTGTAGAAAGAAACAGAAGTTCTTGAAAAAGTAATTTGACCAAAGTAATGAGCAATCCCAGTTTAAGCACTCTAAACTCTGTACTGGCCTCCATCTGGGCCTTGCCAAAAGGGCTGAATCTATTGTCTTCTCATATTTTATTCTGTATAGGGCTGAGAGAATTGAAAATTCCACTTGAACTTCCAATGTTACCGATGTATTTGGAACATTGTCAATAATGTGCTGGCAAGCGCCCTAGCCTTACGGGTAGAGGGTATTTTATATTTTGTATTATATCTATGTAATTACCTGTATAACCAAATGGGTATATTTTTGCAACAAATGCCGGTATTCTGCCCTAACCAAAACAGGCTTCAGCCTAAATTTGAACATTGAAATGATGATCCGTCTCTTTAGAAATCTTTTACTCACATGTCAGACAAGATCAAGGATACCCTCTGGAAATTTCTCTGAACACTTATGTTCCGACTGGTACTACTGCCACTGTCATTCTTTGCCTATTTGGAATTCAATGCTATGATCATGACTCGCCGCTCTCCACAGCCAAGACGCTAAAACAAACTAGAGAAATCTCGATGGCGCTACCTCAAGATAACCCAATCGCCTGTTTCTTCCCGCAAACCTGCGGGACGCCACACCCGCTAACCGATATAGGTCCACGGGACCGGGCAATTACAAATATGTCTCTGATCGAGATCATCTCGGGTTGTTCCCCGAAGGAGTCGAAGAGCTAGAGTCTATGCCAAGATCATGCTTAACAAACTCCCTGTTTGACAAGTCACCACCTTACTCCGTGTACTTGACCTGTTCGATACTTTTTAATCCAGGTGAGTCTTTCGCCTGGAATGCACGCTAGGCTGGCTTTTTCCTTCTAACTCATTCTAAATCTCGTAATTTTTGCCCCCGGCACCTGCCGCTGGTGGGGATAGTCAGGAAGAAAAAAGCCCCCACAGTAGCAGCAGAAGTCAGACTAAGCTCCAACCCCCGAAGCCAACTCCAATCGCAGGCTTACATGGCATACAACATACATCCTACATAATCAGGCAGATTGCATTGAATCCGAGACCGAGTGGCTTTGATGCTCAGGGGTCTAGTCCAGCGGATAGCCCCGAAATGGTGCCATTTTATGCCCCTGGTTCCAAATTTAACGTTAAACCTTCTTCTCCCTGCCTTTATTGAGCAATGTGATGCAGTTGCAGCATTAAACCCCACACTATACATGTTTCCCTGCTATAGTTCTGGAACCAGATCTTGGGCCTGGATTCCATCGTCCTATGTACGCTGCAGGTAGACTAGATAGGTTGATGTATGTGCCAGTATCTCAGACATTTACAGCAGCCTTGCTGGACTTGCATTTACGTTAGATACATTCACAGGTCTCTCCCTTCTGAGACATGATGAAAAGTTCCTGAGTTACTTGGCGTAATATCGATTTGCTCGAATGACCGTTCTCAGTTTGGATATTTGGGGTGTTGAGACAACTCAGGCCAAAAAGTCACTGCCCATATTGTGCCTTTTTTTTACTCTACTCCGCGCATAGTATGGAGTAGACGCGGGGGACTTACCATTGATTGTTTACTCTAAAATGTTTTGCTCTGATCGATTGGATTTGGATGACTTGTTCTCAATAGTAGAAACAAAACTAATCCTTTTTCTCTTTGGTTAAATGACTAAATGTACAAAGTGTGCTAGAAGTGCTATGCACCTTGCACCGGATCAGGTGGACACTGGCATCTCTTGGCTTCTATCGCCATTACCACCTCAGACCACAGCGTAGAGTTCCCGACACCGTCCCGCTCTGCCCAGGAGCTAGACCGCCAGGTGATATGTCCAGGGTAGTATTTAGAAAACGGGGACATCATTTTTTGGGAAAGGAGGCTGTTCAGTATCCCCACAGACTAGGCTGTTGGTTCAAACATCAGAAGGTATAGGGCATTCAATCTTTGTATCAACAGTAAAGCAGTGTTGTTTTTTTCTTTCACATATATAAAAAGGCATTATTGACATCTAAAAGAGACATCCACAAGTCATAATGAAAGCGATGGTGGCCAACAAAAACCAAAACCTACATCGACCTGCCAAACTAAGACAGATCAATTTTCTTTCAATCCCTTAAAGGGAAATGGGGGTGGAAAGAGTGAATGTGACAGGGGAGCCAGAGAGCTTGACCCAGACGGTAAGGGGGTCAGCACCTAGCTGCTCAGTGGCGAATCCCTGGGTGCTGGTGGGAGCAACAGGGAAGGTTACTGGGATAGGCTCAGTGCAGGTATTTCCAGTGGCAGAGATAGTGACGGCAGTGATCTTTCGGTTGCTGGTGGCGTAGCCCAGAGAGTAGCCGCACTTGTCACGGTTAAAACGGGCCAGGAAGGAGGCGGACATCTATAAGGAGTCAGCACATGGATGAGATGTCGTAGCGTGTCGGATTAGGTTTATCTTACCTCCTGATGAGTGAGTGTGATGATGGGCCATTCAGCTAGACGAACGAACTCCTGAACCTGGGTTTCCACCCAGGCTTGCATGATGGAGTACTTGGCAGAGACTCCATTGATGGTGATCGGATCAACATCAATATTGCGGAGGTTCGCCTGGTGGAACATGTAGCCATCGTGGTAGAGGCCAAAGAGGTGACGCATGGTCTCAGCCTTCTCGATGGCCAGGAGGTCCTGGAAGGTACCGGAACCAGCAGAGGTGGCGATCCATTCTGCAACGGTACAAGCAGGAGTATCACAGTTATAGTAGATGCGCGTGGCCCATCGAGGGTTTATCTGCATCCCTTCGAAACCGTTGGCGGCAGCAGCGGTGAAAAGTGGCCACATGGCATTCGCCTTGTTCATAAGGGCAGGGCGGGTGTTATCGCCGACACAGTTGGTGATTCCGTTCTCCCACCAGGCCCGAAGGGCATCACCATTGTGCAGCCCAGTGATTGCAGGAGGAATAATACCGTTGGAAGTAAACTTGGTGGCCTTGTCAATACCAACGGCCTTAAGCCAAGCCTGGTTGAAGCTGATCTCTTTGAAGACATCGCTATAAGTGGCATTATCCTGCTCCTCGTGGGTGAAGGTGTGGGAAATATGACCGAATTTATTGAGGTTGCTTTCGGTTGTCCACCAGGCTAGGAGCTCATCCATGGCAGTGCAAGTAGCAGTCCAGTCATAAGTAGTGGGCACAGCAGGCCACAAATCAGTTCCGGTTCCGAGAGGTTTAACCCACTCCGGAGGAGTGTCAAGAGGTGATTCATATTCAATAGCAGCTCCGCAAGCATCCCAGCCAGAATTCGAGGTATCGGAAGAGTTTTCGATGTTTCCGTTCCCGTTGTGCCCGACTTCGACGAAGTAAGAACTGCCGGCGGGCATCTTGGCATTGATCGAATCACTCCAGCTGGCAATATTGCTCATATCCTGGGCGCGAATACGGAAATTCTTACCAGCGGGTGAGTAGATTTCAGTCTCGAGGAACATGTCATCAATTTGGGTGTTCAGGTTGACACGGCGATATCCGGCGTACAGACCGCGCGTGATCCAGGTGATCCATGCGTGCTGCAGGTAGCTGGAGGTAGAGCTCCAGGTAGTGTCGAAACCGATGAAGAAGGCCATTTGTTGACGACCACCAAAATCATTGATCACACCAGCGACACTCTCAGTAGGGAACCCTGTAGTGGGGGCAAACGAAGCGATCTTCTTGGTAGACGTGGTATTACTGATAGTCGCGGGGTAGTGCCACAGACCGCTAGTGCTGACACCAGCACCAATCTTTAATCCAGACGTGGGGAAATCACTGATATCAGTGAATGAAACAAGTTGCTCAACACCGTTGTCACAGCATCCGCCGATAGCAGATGCCCCATAGTTAGGACCTGGGTAAACATCGTATTGGACCATACGGACACCATATTCAAGCTGGTAAGAATATAGCTGAGTCCACTGATCAGTGGTCAGGGCACTCTGGAAGCCCTTAGTACCACCATAGTCATAGCTGACTTCTGAGGCAATGACAATACCACCGAAATTTCCTCCAGCAGTTCCATTGAGATCTGGAAGAGTGACACCAGCGGAGGGAACAACCAGGGTGGTAAATGGGATACCGTACCCGTTGAGGCCAGAGCTGGCTACACTTGCAGAGGCAGCGTCTCTAGCAATGACCAAAATATCAGCTGCAACAGCAGCGTGGTTGAGCGGGGTGGCAGAGGCAGAAGCCGAAATGGAGATGGTAGAGGACGACATTCTAGGAGTAGTCACAGATGCACTTGCAGAAATAGGCGGACATAAAACAGCGGAAGACGACACAACCGATGAAGGGGTAGTGGCGATCACCGACCCGGATGGGATTGAGCCCGAGGTGAAAAGTAACAAAAGTGGATGGTGCAGAAGTTGCGGGTGCAACTGTGCCAGCAGAGTGGCTAATGATAATTATAGATGACAAATACACAGAGACAGAAGCAGAGGCAGTCAACGAGTGTGTAGAAGTAACGAATGTAGTGGTCGCTCCAACAGATCTTGGGAGTAGGAGTCGAGACCGGAGGGTGATAGGCGATAACAGTCGGCGTAGTATCAGGTCAAACACCAGGGGCAGTGTCGCATGTTATAAAGGCGTAGCTCCCGACCTTCAGGGCCCAGACTGACACGGCAACCATGGCAATCTTAACCAAGTGCTCAATAGGGAAGGTCACACATTAACAGCTAGAAAAAATACGAGTACGGAATATATTGAACGAATAGACTTGGCTTGCACCTATCCACAAGTGCATGATCGTCTTTATTATCCATGATAAAACCCTTTGTCAGGCCATAATTCAACCTTGGAAGGCCTATCGCCTTTTGGATCCCCGTCAATTTCGGAGTAATCTCGAATCTAAAAGAGATTACACTTTATACAGGTCTACATGTGGCGTTGGTGACTGGTGTTGGGAGGGCGAGTTCCTATTTCATTTCGAGGTCTCAGGTCCGATTTAGAAATGGGGAGAATCGAAGACACATAATTCACTGTGTTGGCACCTCTTGCTGGGTATATAATTGGTCAATCAACGATTGTTCTTGGCAGTAAATCATTTTTCTTTTGTTTGAAAAATGAAAGAAAAAGCAAGGCTCCAGGCTAGGCATTGAAGTAAGCGAGACATGAAGAACGCCATACATTTTGAAGCTAAAAGCTCCAAATACCAAAAGGTACAATTCAAGAGGGGAAAAGACTCAGTGGGGAAACAAATACACAGTACAAATGTTCATTCATACAAAGTACATGTATGTATTGGTATTTCGGTTTGGCCACTTCATGTATTGACAAGGTCAATACCACAAATTCTCACTTACCAGGCTGTATTTTTTGTTCGTTCACTTTCCCTTTTTGATTTCATCGCTTCCTTGTACTTTTTTCTTTTCTTTTTCTTTTCTTTTTTCTTTTTTTTTTCCATTTTAATTATTTATTATTTTTATATTTGCCAAGACCTCGAGTCCGCAGAATGATGCGATGCTTCTAGCCCATAACTGCATCCTTTAGCTTAGAAGAAATCAGAAATCGATACCAGATATGTCTTGAAAAGAAACATGTGTTGAGAAAAGGTTAGGACATCCTGAAGGAAATAGATAGGCATCCCTACTCATTGGGATATTTGCCATATAGATCCCATTATGTTGCCACAAATGGCAGCTCTGTGATGGAATGTATATGTTGTAAGCTTGGCTCCAGGTCTCGGTCAGCCCTGCTGCATTAGTGGCTTCTTTAGTCTTGCATCGAAGAAAATCCACAGTGTGATATTGTGGCTATTTTCGCCCCGTGAGTATGAGATATCTGCTTCAATAGGCGCCTATGTACCCTTTGTCCTAAACCGTCCAAAACAGGCGAAGCTACTCCGTAAATTGTTTTCTTTTTTTTACCCTATACCCCCCTGACAACTGAACAAGGGAAATCCTAGAAGGCAAAATCGTCCACTTTACTTATGCAGCTTGGGGAAGTGGGAATTCACTTTAGTCCCCCACTATTCTTTTACCTTATCGCCTTGCCAACACTTAAGCTCCCCTGTACTCTTCACTTTTTTATTCTACACACCTTTGGCTTCTTGCATAGCACACAAGTCCCTCGTTTAAGCATGTCACTATAAGCATTTGCATTGGAGAAACTTTCATGTCAAGTTGGCAACAGGTTATCCTACCCTTGTGCTTCTTATATTGAGCCCAAAGACATATTGAGTCGAGGACTCGACATCTTGATACAATGCCGGCTGTAGAAGCTCTTCCAGTCAGGCCACATCCTCTTGGCTGGGCTTATATGAGAGAATATTGGTGGCAATTTGTATGTCGATTCTGGTCCTCTTTACAACTTGGCGTTCGACGTCCTGGTTTACAGACACAGAACACTAAGATATGCTGATCATTTCCCTAGGCTCTTATTGGAGTGTTGCTATTCACAGTCGCCGTTGGCTCCATGTCAATCGTATATTCTGGAGTAAGGAGACTTATCAAATACTACAAGGTATGACCACAGCAGCCACTAGCAAGCTGTTCTCCGGTTTTGATGTTAATTATAGCCTATATTTAGTCGAGACCGCCACCAGACAATGTGCCCTCCAGGGTATCCAATCGTCTCATCAAGCTAGCCAACCGAGAACTCAACTTGATCGACAGACGTCCGCGGAAGGGAAAGCCCGACAGTTTTGGGGTCTACCTGGGAAGCTTCGAAAACCCACCTACCGTCTCGCAAGAAAGGCTTCTGCAGGAATGGGATGTATTGGTTGTGGATCCCTTCCAGGCAGGTGTCGCGAAGGCTATTTCCAAACACGAACGCAGCCAAGTACTGGGACGTGTTGATTTTGGGAAAATCATTCCTTCAAACGCATCGGCCTTGACCGTTATCGAAACGATCGAGGAATTACTTGCAAGTAGATTTCATGATACTGCATTTTCCGGTGTTCTCCTCGCGAACTGGGAAAATGTGCTCCGTCCTACTGCTCGAAGAAAGCTTCTCGAGACCATCAGCAGCCTCGGCCTGACAGTCTACCTCGAGTCAGAGCCACCAAATTTCTTGAAGGACCGAAAGGCTGTGCAGAGTGATGCCGTGGCGGGCTTGGTCATTCGAAACGCTAGCATCACTCCTCAGGGCGAAAAACGGGATTATTTCCAGATGGCCGAGCTACAAGCAACAATCAAGGCATTTGTTTCTGAGTCTTGCATGAGAGACTTTGTAGTAATGGCCTGGGAAACAATCGACAACAATGTCACTGTTCCCAATGCTATAGTCCGCAGATCTATCCAATGGTGCGGATTTTACAGCGCCATTACCTGGATCGGCCACAAAGCTGCTCTTCTCGATGCAGATCTCAATGTTACAACTCTCGAACCTCTTCCTGCGTTTGGTTGGTTGAAGGAAGCAGAAATAATGAAGGCCCACGATACCTGGCGTGCCAATCTGAATATCATGCCTTCGTCGGATAACAAGGCTGGCTGGGACAATCTCAAGCCTCTTTTCCCAGCTATTGATAAGCTGCTACATTCCTCTGAATATGATTCTAAGGCTCCCGATAGCCCGACTGCTCGACTACGTGACCCTCCAGAATGGGTCGCACAAGTCAAGTCACAGGGCAGCCCTCTCTCTATCTCCATGTCAGGGATGGCCTACAATTCGCTTGGCTGCTTCCCTCTCGGTTCAGACTCAACTCCACTCGCCTTTGCAGAAATTGTTCAATCTCAACGACGCCTCAAGTCTCTCAACCTTCTTCATCCCGTTCCAGCAAGCAAAATCCAAAGCATTGGGCTTCTTCTACGTCAATTTCATGACTCCCTAGATATCTCCGAAGATGACGATCATTTAGCCAACACTATAAAGGAACTTGCTAATTGGGCATCCAACGATCTGTTGCACGTGAATCTTTGTCTTGACTCTGGCCTACGTAAGAGCTCTGATTTCCGCTTTTGGGCCGTCTTTGATATGGAGCATGATGGTATTGAGATTTATGTATCCAAAAATGCGCAAGGACTGGCTGGAACTATTCTTCACACCTTCCTCTCGGCAAAGGGCTTTCCCCGGCATGATTGCTTCGAGGCTGAAGCTACCTTCGCGGCTTGGTCTCAGGATATTTCCCACGACACTGGCCTTCCGCGTCGACTGGTTCAAGATATCGATGTTCTCAGCCCTGAAGAGCGCCTTCTTCTCTTGCAGCACCTCTATCTGACCGATTCACATAGCGAACTATCTGAAGCCATCTGTAAATACATTTGCAGGCAACTGGTGGACGCCCCTTCTTTTACTCAGTTGAAAACGTTAAATACCGTTGGGTACCTTGAGAAATCTACCTCCCCCGAGGATCTGATTAGGTCTCGTATCAACTGGTACCTAGATCAGGGATGCAAATACCCGTCTCTCGATGTCTGCATAGAGCTTTTCCATCAAGCCGACAGTGTACTCTCCGACATTTTGAGATATCGCCGGGAGGATGACCTCGCTGCCATTACTAGTGGTCTCTGCGCGCTTCTTCAAAGTGGCTCCGTTGACACGTATGTGGATATGATGGCCCTTTCTCTTTTCTGCGCCGCAAGACGGGGAGCCTTTGATGAGATTTACGCAGAAGTGACCGATCGGAATCCCCTATTCAACAACCATACCGATCAGGCTGCCGCCTTCGCCGAGTCATTTGCCCTTGGATCGCGATGTGAAGCTTACTTCGACGTGTCCCCCAGCGTTTTCGGGAAGTTGCTATCAGACCGGTTCAGGGCTTACTACGGAGACCATCAGCCGCCGAACTGGGTGAACGGTGCCCCGCAGCTCGCTACATCGTACGCCGGAGCTCAGATTGATGTTAATCCTGATGAGCAGCCTAAGTCTATGCCTGGATACCAGCGATTCACATTTTTGAGTGTCTTTGCGATTCCGGCATTGATTGATATCGTCATGCTTACCCTGATTGGCCGTGGACTCTATCTCTCTGCTGCCATGTCTCATGAGGACCAGGACAGTGCGACTATGGCTCTGATGATCTCTCTTCTCCTTTCCGGTGCAATTGGTACCTGGATTGCATGCGGTGGCCCATACTACCTCATCTCGATGGCCTTTGCAGCAGCGAACATGTTCGTTCTTATTCGCCTTATCGCTGGTATTGCATTCACTGTGGCCGGCGGCTTGATTGGTTTTGTTGCCATTTCGAGTGTTCGAGGTCCTCGCGCTGGTGGCATCTTCTACCTTTACTTGGTCGCTCTGACACTCTACTTCTCGATTTTCGCCTCGCTTGCAAGCTTCAGTTATCCCGGTTCGAGCTTTTTGTCTGGTCGTAAGTCAATTATCCTGTGCATTCCGATCCTTTTCTTGTCTCCGATCATCACCGCCTGGACTGGCCACGACTCAGTTGTCTATCTCGCTGTTATCTATCTCTTCATTGGTGTGCTTTTGCTCTGCCTGCGTTCAGTTACCTCCAAATGGGTCACTTGGTACCAATCCGTGCGACGCACCGATGATACTGAGATCCGTAAGTGGTATGTCACTACCTATGGAAAAGATGATGAGAAGGTGTTTGCGGGCATGAGTGACCCGGCTGCCCTCAAGCTGGCGAGGGAAGCCCTGTTGAAGGACGTCTTAACTGAGACGAAGCGTGGCATGTTCACAAGGGCATCTAAAGATAAAATGGTCGTTGAGCTCGCTGGGGACTGGGATTCCACCAATTTCCTTCTCGACTGGTATTGCCGCTATGCAGATGTTCCGAGGCCGATTCCGTTCAGCTCTGGTTGGAATATCCAAACCAAAGTCGCACTTGACACCCTGCGCAACTCCCAGAAAGGTCTTCGTCTGCACAATGCATTCGTTCACTGGCGTCAATCAAGCAAAGAGATTGGATGTGGTGTCCTCTACTTCGTTATCGCGCTTCTCGACAAATGGGCACAACTGCTGAGTGGTAACCGCATGCTTGGTCTCACCGGTGAGATTCCCACCGATCAGGAGAATGATGCCAATCGAATGGCTGTTGGCTTCGCCCTCGCCTACTATTTGATCGGAGCCGTGCTCATTGATACCAAGGCTCAAGAGCTCAATGACGCACTTGGTGGCAACGCCCCTATTTCCGTCAGATCTGCAAAGGACATTCGGGCGGCTCAGAAGAAAGAGGTACAACTACGGCGAAATGTATACTGGCGAGTCCTTTTTAGATTCCTCTTGTGGCATGTCTGGAGTCTTGCGCTTGCCACTGCTCTCATTTGGACCTTCCAGGCATCGCTTGAAGGCGTGATTGTTTTCTTCTGTTACGTTCTCGCTTATACTGGTTTGATCTGGTACCAATACACAAAGATCTTTACGGGGCCTCATGCGCTGAAGCCTCTCCTCATTGGTATCTGTATCGGATTGCCAGTTGGTATCGCGCTCACAGTTTGTCTACCAAAATTCCCATACTCGCAGGTCATTGGACTCGGATCTGCCACCTGGACCGTTGCAATCCTCTCGATCTGGAATGCCAAAATGGGTATGCCAATCAAATTGAATTCTTCAGTGGAACTTGACCGCACCTTCCATGCGTTTACAACGCCTTGGTCGGACCCCGAATGGTCCCAGCAAGAGCTTCAGACCTTCTTCGAAAGCTATTCACTACTTCCTTCCGATTCCCGTTTCAGGCTCAATCCTAGTGTCCATCCTGCCGTCGAAATTAAGAGTGCTATGATGTCTTGCAGAGAAGAACTTAGGATTGAAGAGGCGTTTCCCTCCTCCAGGGATATTGTCAACACTGCGATCGCATCGTGGGAGAAGGGCGACATTGTCATTGAGCTTGTCTCTTCTGGCTCTCTCGGTCCCGGCATTCGAGCTCTCAGCTGTAGCACCGGAAACCAGTTGAAGTTGGCCATCACGGTGGGAGGACTCCTAGACGAGCGCCTTGATATCAGCGCAAATTGTCAGATCATTGCTGAAATCTTGCTTCATGCAGTCACAGAGCTGATGATGGGTATTCCTCATGAATATGCATCATTGGCAGGATCAATTGTCTCCGGTGGAGTGACTCACACAATGGCTCGACAGCTTCGTGAGGAGGCCAGCACAACAACAGTCGTACGCTGGGCTAAGAAGGAACTCCTCCGACAGCTTTGCCTTGGTTTTGAGGCCGATATACATTGGGACAAGCTGCCAGCCGATGTTCGGGATGTGTTATTGAAGCGTTGCCTGGGTCAACAATGCAGCCTCTCCAATAGCCAACGTCAATGGCTCCAGAAAAACCTTTGCACATTTGATACTGACAACCTCGATATCCATGTTGCCCGTTGTAACCTTGGAGCAGCTACTGCAATTAGTGTTCTCGATTATGCTCACTGGGGAACTGGAGAAACGGCTCTTCCTAAAGAGCCCGAGACGTCAAAGTACATTTCCTACATACCTCGGAAGCTTCCAACTGCATTTTCGCTATTCCGATCACCAGCTAGCTACATTTACCACAAGCTAGGAACAACAGTCAAGTTCCTTATAGTAGCTTTGGTCGCAGATCCCGAATTCCAGAGAGAATTCAATCACGTCACTCAGACCCTTCCGATTGTTTTCCGTGTGCCAACTGTCTTCTTATTTAACATGATTTGGGTTTATTCCAAGATCGTTCAAGACCTGGGCTTATCATTCTTCCTCTTCCATGGCCGCAAAAACGTCAAGCAGCTGTGGGAAGAGACCAAGGGCATGACAATCCATATCAAGAAGAGCCAGATCATTATCCAGAGCCTGGAGGGCACTTTTTCCGCCTTTAGGCACCACGAGATTGATGGTGGTTTCAAGATGTACCACTATGCTGGTGAGCATAAGACTGAGCCCAAAGTGGTCAAATCTCTGAAGTACATCAGCACCTATTCGAGTGACATGTTGCTTCTGGTCAAACAGGAGTTCAAGGACGGCAAAGTGACCAACGAGTACCACTATGACTATCAATCCTCCGCTAAGAAGGGCTTCAAACTTAGCAAATCATCGACTCGCATTCCGCTAGGACGTCGTTGCGTGTCAGGGACAAACCATCTACAAAGCGTCCAGTACAACCGCAAGGGTCTTATTGAATCAGGCTCCTACATGAAGGATGGCAATCTTATCCGCTTCAAATACCACTATCGCAAGAACCCCCGTTTCGGTGATGAGTTGCTCCGAGCAGAGTTCGCCCTATCCCACATCAGTTGTACGGTGTCTTGGTGTGCGCCTCCGCGCCGCCATCCCGAGAAGGTTGAGCGCTGGATTCCGCACTCCAAAGTCACTGAGGCCAGTTTTGTCCAGGGCGCAGATGTCTATGAAAGCCGCTGGCTATATGATCACAAGTTCCATCCCACCATTTTTACCACTATCAACGGGCAGAAGATGCAAACTCCGCCCATGATTGAGCACGATTATTTGGGTGTACTGTCCAAGCCGAAGTATACCAGCTTTGTGTATGATAACCCGCTTTTCTACTGTGACAGTCTCCGGTCGAACCTTCTTACTCGAACACTGGGTCTGACGAAGAAGCGCTTTGTGGTGTCGACTTCTCGGGCTCGCTCCTTAATGTGGAAGGCATGGAAGGATCGTGTTGACTTCGATGCAATCATTGTTCGCTGGATGGACGACCGCATTCTGCGTAGAGATAAAGTCCTTGCCCCTTACTGGCGCAGCCGTGACTGGGGTAATCTTGGATCAGCAAAGAAGTATGTGGATCTCCGCGCCGATGCGATCATGGCTAGTGCGGATCTAGATGGCAACATTTCCAGCTGGACACCACTCGCTGTCAAGCTCACCGATCTACTTAACTTCGGCCCTGGCGGCGATGCTGTTGTTAACACCCGTTCTAAGAACTTTGGCAAAGATACAGAAAAGACGCTCCATGTCATGGCGGCAGACAATGGTACCTGGCCTAATGAAGGTGGCGGTGTCTCTGCATGCCGACGGGATATGATCAACTCGCTTCGAACTATCAAATGGCACATGATTTGCGAGTCTGCAAACGATTTCGGTGTCCCCAAACATCAGACTGAACAGAATATCCAGTCTCTCAAGCTCATCCCGCTTTGGGGTATGGACTTCCTCACTCCAACTCACGGTTTGTTCCAGAACAAGCTGGATGCTGAGGTGGACAATGTTACATCCGCAAGCGGGCTCGACATTAAGATGAACTTCATTCCGATTCTCGCAGCTTTGGTTAAGGGTGCCCGTGCAGTTCATCTCTCAAAGTCTGACATCCACCAGGCGACTCGAGCGCTTGTGAATTTGAACACATACTTCCAGGAGTCCCGTCATTGGACTCAGGTGTGGAACAGTGAAATAGTAAAGCAGAGCTGGCGGGAGTTGTGGCTGACCCAGGAAATGCCAAACACCATCCCATCATCCGACTGGTTCGATACTGAGCTTCCTACATTGGCATCCCTCGATGTCGCCTTGGAGCTCTGGTACCGCTACCTCTTCATCTTTTCGATTCCGGTTCCTGAAAAGATTCCTTCGACCTTCCAAGCCTCGCATCACAGCGTCAGTGCCTCGTACGGTGTTGTATGCAAGATCAAGCGCAACTGTACCTTGCAGATTTGGGACCACGCCATCAGTTGGCGTGAAACCAATCTGTGCCTGTCATCTGCCCTGTGCAAACTCTCACCATTTGTTCGAAACGCGCTTCTTGGGTTGATGCGAATTACTTCCGTCTTGACCCTTCACCACGCAGACATCATCCTTCCCTGTGCGGACTTCTTCAACCCCGGTTGGGAGGTCGAGATTGGTACCTGCCAGGGCACGATTGAGCACCGAAACACTTTCCGCCGAAAAATCGATCCCGTCGTCAACGGTATCACTGACATGCAGAAGTTTTCTCCAGTCAAGGAAATTAAATCCGAGCGTCCGACTGTGACCATGTTGTCCCACGTTTGGTATGCAAAAGATATCAAGACTGCCCTCCTCGCTGCCGATATCATCATCAACCAGTGGAAGTTCGACGAATACCACCTAGACATCTATGGCGCCATTGATAAGGCCCCGACTTACTCTACCGAGTGTCAAGAGATCATCGCATCGAAGGGTCTTCGTGGCAGAGTCACACTCCGTGGAACTGCCGACCCCATGAAGGTCCTGGAGAACACATGGCTTTTCCTAAACTCATCTCTCTCTGAAGGTCTCCCCCTTGCCTTAGGAGAGGCTGCTCTAACTGGGGCCCCCGTCGTCTGCACGGACGTCGGTGCTTCCCTCCGAGTACTCAGCGACCCAGATGACTTCTCCCGCTTCAGTGCCGTCGTCGCACCAAACGACGCCCTCGCCCTCGCAAAGGCCCAAATCGGCATGCTTGCCATGCTCGGCGAATGGAGCAAACACAGCGACGATACATCACCCGCACCAGTCCTTACCTCCTCCCCCACACCTGAGGAAGTAGCAGCCATCACTCGCCGTATGTACGAGAAGAGCGAGCACCGTCGTAAACTCGGCATGATGACCCGCAAGATTGTTCAGAAGTCCTTCAGTGGTGACCGTTACCTCCGCGAGCACGAGCAGATGTTGTGGATCGGCAAATCCGCCAAGATGATGGCCAGCCGTGCAGCTGGCGACCCGATCGAGCCGGCGGACGTGGCAGCCGCCATAGAGACTGGCGTTGATGAAGAGATCATCACCATCCCGCGAGGTGTGGTACACTCATGGCGCTCGTCTGCCCAATCCGGTATATCCACGATCTACAGTTCTGCGTCTCAGCTACCCGGTCGCGGCGGCTACTACAGTCGCCAATCTGATATCTCGGCTATGAGCATTAGCAATGTCTCCACGGATACCGAGTCATTCGGTCGCCTACCTGTCTTTGCGCCGAAGTACGCGATTTCCAACGGCGGCTCCCCGCGTAACAGGTCGCCGTCACCCATGTGGTCCTCTAACCATCGGCTATCTATGCTAAATGCCCCTCCTCACACTCCCTCTGGTCCTCAATCATACTCGCGCTCCGTCTCAACTGTTGGCCGGGAACAGCTGCGTGGTTTGCAACGTGAAGACTTCCTTCCGTATCGAAACTCGGATGTTAGTGTCGCAAATCAAGATGACTTCATTCGGGCTGGCGGGCTTTCTCCTAGTGGTTGAGAGTCACGCGTTTTGATTCGAGGTTGATTCATTCACCCTCCTTACCACCCCCTACTTGGACATAGTACACTCCTGTATATCTTTATCGCTACATTTTGTTCATACTTGCATCATTTGGTGTCTGATCGTTTCCAGAGGAACCTTGGGAAATGTTTAAAAGCCTTCCTATTAATATGTTTTTGTCTGATTTATTCTATATCGGTTTTTGTTTTACATGTCTAGAAATTGTGGCATATATCAGCGACTGCAATCCTTTTATCTTTATTAGCCTTGCTCATGAGAATACTTAGAAATATGATATGCATCCATTGTTGCTTAATGCTATGTATATCTAGCGCTAGCAGTGTATAATTGAAACAGGGTGTAGGTGATTGCAAAATAAAGGTATTTATCCCGAAAATCCAAAAGAAAAGCAAGGGTCGATGAGCGGCGCGAGATCCTTCACGTCGACTTCTGTGGCTTCGGACTCGCGATCCGACGCCATTCACCATTGAACGCATTGATGAGCCAGCTCGAGAGACCTTGATTCGCAATTAGTCGTGTCCCTTTCCGACTTTGGAAGTCATAAGATGGAAGCATGTCGGAAATCAACTTACGTTCATAAACAAGCGCATGCGCCATGTGGAATTGTATACTATGATCCGAGTCTGGGAAGACCTGCATGTCGTAGTTGGCGATATTTTCCAAATCCAGTTTGTCTATCAACACAAGGGTATTTTGGAGATGAACATTGTCGTCGGCAACACCGTGCATGATCAAAAATCGAACATTATGGCCTAGGGCCATGACATCAGTGATAGAGGCATTTGCGTAACCTGAAGGGTTATGCTCGGGGGTATGCATATACCGTTCTGTATAGATAGAGTCTATCAAGTAATATGTTAGAATGTGGAAAACAAACAGAGTTGATTGATCTTACCATAGAATCTCCAATCAGTCACGGGTGCTACGGCCATGCCATATTGGAATGTCTCGCCCGCATCTTGTTCAAGGACCTTCAGGGTCATGTAGCCACCGTAGCTCCAGCCCCAAATTGCCATGCGGCTTTCATCCACGTAACTCTTGTTAGCCCAGATCTTGGCCGTCGCAATCTGATCGAGGGCTTCATAGTGGCCGATATTACCACGGATAACGCAGCGGGCTTCTCTTCCAATTAAACCTGTTCCTCGACCATCCACGGTGACGACAATATAACCCAGGCTTGAGGCGACATATGTCTGAAAATCAACTGTGAACTTGCGGTCCACAGTTTGTGAGCCTGGTCCACCATATAGGAAGAAAAGCACAGGGTATTTCTTTGCAGGGTTGAAGTTTGGGGGCCGGCGCTCCAGAACTTGGAGCGTGTAACCATCAATGGTTACATTAGTATACACCTCCGTTGGGAGGGCGGAATCTTTTGCCAACTTAGCGAGTTCAAGGTTCTCCTCGATGAGGTTTATGAACTCAATTTCGTCACCTTGCGTGTTAATCACGGCCTGCCACGGGACTGATGGGCCTCTATAGCTGAGTAAACCATAACCGGCTCCATGGGAAAACGAAACATCGAAATAGCCGGGTGCAGATGTATCCGTCAGAGGTCGAAGATCAGATCCGTCCAGTTTGACCGAGTATACGTGACGTTGAGTTGGGGCCTCCTTTGTGGCAATGAAATAAACCAGGCCCTTCTTCAAATCAACAGCGGACGGTGCCTTGACAACTTCCCAATTACCCTTGGTCAACACCACAGGCTCCGGGTTATCAAAAGGTGTGAAATAAGCCAAGTGATCATAGCCTTCATGAATGATGGTGTCAATATAGCCATCGTGTGGTCGACCATTCTTGGGGTCAGCGGGAATAAACCGAGTCGATTGTGAAGGTTCAACCCAACCACCGTCCAGAGCTGCGATATCGTCTGATCGCACCAGCTTGCCAGTTCGGGCCTTTGTGTCCATAACAAAGATCTTCACAACATCGCTCTCGCGGTTGGTCTCTCGGATCAAGACCTTACCCTCAGATGCCCAGACAATCTCAATAATAATTCTTTCATCATCAACAAAGTCCTCGGGCATCTCAAATGAGAAAACTTCATTTTTCTCGACATCATAGAATTGCAAATTGACAATCGGATTCGGACTGCCGGGTTTCGGATATTTGATCTGTCTGACTTCAGGATAATTTTCAAGTCCGGGCGGTGGCTTTTTGCCTGATGGCCGTGAAAGGAAGTACTGAATAGGATATTCAGGGACTGCTGACTCGTTTGTTCGAAGGAATGCGACGAACTTTCCATCACCAGACCACCAGGTGCCAGTATTTCCTGCAAAGACTTCTTCCTCATACACCCAGTCTGGAACACCATAGAAGAGGTTCTCATCGCCATCCTTAGTAATTGGGGTGACCTCCAAGGAGGCCAGCTTACGCAAATATAGGTTATTCTCACGAACAAACACAACCGCATCGGAGGTTGGCGACCAAGCTGCAAACTGTACACGTCCACTCAAGTTCCCAGGATCTAGTGGCTCGGCCTTCTGCGTCGCCACATCAAGGATCCAATATTTTCCAAAGTACGAGTGTCTCCAGTTAGACTGAATATCGGTCATGACCAAGACCTTGTTCATATCAGGACTTGGCCATGTCTTGGCCGGTGGGATGGACTTTCCATCAAACCAGATGTACCCCTTCTTCATCAACACTCTGGTCTCGAGATTATCAACACCATCTTTACTAGTGCGGATGTCTTTCACGCGCAGAAAAGCGTCTTGCTTCTCACCCTGCTCAACCAGGAGACCATCCTCGCCATTCGGGCCTGCAATCCAGGAGATCGCATGGGACTTTGGAGACCAGGTACCAGACAAGACTTGCTCAAGTGTCACTGGTTTTCCATGGCTCATACCACCGGTGATCGGGTCTGATTCATGAGTCTCCACCCCTGAGGCAGATGAGAGCGCCGCAGCATCGGGTCGTTTCTGCATGAGGAACAGCACGAAGGCAAGCACCCAGCCACCGACGCAAAGCAACACCAGTAACCAGACGATCCGGCGCAGGCGACTGGAGGAGCCTACTTTCTTCCCGCTTGATATAAGAGGCTCATCTGATGCAGTTTCCCCTCCATCTTCCATATCCCGGTATCTATCCCCATCCCCGTCCTCCCTCGGCATCGTGTTGCCTCCCTTGTGGTTTTTCATGAACGATTCGGAGGCGATCGATAGGCCCGAGTCAGTGGATGTTTGTGAGGTGTGGGATTCTGACCATTTCCGAGTCAACGGTTGGGCCTCCGAAGACCCTTCATCTTCGAACTTCCCCATGATGGTTGTTGATCGGAGTTCACAAGCGGAGCTGACGTTCCGATCGTCACGCTATCTCTTATCGCCCAGCGATTCAACGCGAGCAAGCGCCACGACCACTATTTCAATGGCAGTATGTGTGTGTATGTATATATATTCGCCAATTAGTGAAATAATGTATGGAAAAGCAGATATCACTTTTTGAGAGCTGGCTTCCAATGTCCGGGGATATGAAACGAGGCCGAGTTCACCTCTTGGCGTGGACAAAGAGTCTATTCATGTCTTTAGCTTCAGATATCCTTATTCAGTTACATTTTGGGTTATAATATCGGTGATTAGTTCATTTCTTACAGGCTAGCTTTTTTACTAGTGTGTATACTATTCATAGAGTTGTTAGTTGTCCATCGGAACAATTAGTGCTTGAAGGCTGCTCTATATATATTTTATATTTAAATACTTGTGTTATACTGAACTATACTAGCCTGTATTTATTTCCTAATTACATATATGATAGATAAGGCCTGCTACTCTTAATAGTCAGAAGCTTCTAATGAATATAATGTTGTAGGAAGTATATAAAAAACGTGCATGTATGCCTGATATTAAACAGCTTCCAAGGTTTGATTCTTTCATGTGATTTCAATCTCTCCATTTGCTTGGGACTCCTGAATTTTACTCGACGGCACTACTAGCCATACTAGAGGGCGAAGAATGAGCTTAATAGAAGTCATTGGAAAATGTGCACATAGTGGCTTGCCGTATTCACACCCACACCATGGACGTAATCTAAACTTATGTAATGTCCCTCACACCACAACAAAGCACCAACCTCATCCCACTCACAACTCACTCCCTAAATAGCCCAAATATTGGAACTGCCATGTCAACACACCCTTAAGCCTAATTACACTCTGAATCTCACATTCAATAGAATATGTCGGAAAACAGTATCATTACAAGAGGCTCGGTTTACCATATACATTGCACAGGAAGTGTATACAAGTCCGAGAGTGATTCTATGCAGGAACGGGATATTTTTTTTAATTACTCGTCGCGATCAGATCGCTTTCCATCATACAGCTCACATAGCGGCCGCGGAAAGCGTTTACCGCGACAGAGCAATGTCATCAATTCTCATGATCATCTTCACAGTCTCGGCAGCCAACTCAATCGCACTAGTGCTGACTAGCAAAGGCTGGAGAATGTTCTCCTCTGTGATATCATCCTTCACACCACCGCTGCGGATGCTGACACCAGCATTGTGCTGGCCCTGGGCGTGGCGGTGGCGCAGTTCAGTCACAACCTTGATGGAGTTAAGACCAGCGTTCTCAGCCAGAGTAGTGGGAATGACCTCCATGGCATCGGCGAAGGCCTTGAAGCAGATAGCCTCAGTGCCGGTAAGCTCACGAGCGCGCATGGCGAGTGTGTGGGCCACTTCAATTTCGGGAGCACCACCACCTGCGATCATGGCACGCTTCTTGACGAGGCAGCGGATGACACACAAGGCATCATGCAAAGATCGCTCAGCTTCATCCAAAATCAAGCTGTTGGCACCGCGGGCGACAATTGAAACGGTCTGGTTGTAAGAGGCAAGGGGGGCCTTGATACCGGTGATCTTGACGTAACGAGCACCGGAAGCCTGGACTTCCTCGACAAGGTCGGCAGTGCCGAGCTTGTCCTCGGTGAAGGAGTCGACATTAGCGACGGGCTTGCAGCCAAGACTCTTACACAGGAACTCGA